TATATGTATGTAGGTAAGTAGGATCTGATTCAAGCATACATTATAAAAGCAATGAAAACTTTCGAAGGAAACACTCGAAACGGTCATTAAAGAAATAAACTCATGGATGTTTTTGATAGTTACCACAAAATTTCTATACAAACAAAAAATAGATGTACATACATACATACATATGTATGTATGCAGATACAAATGGGCATTTTCCAGATATCGCATTGAATATTCGTATGCATTGGAAATGAAAAAAGTCGAAACAAAACGGATTTGTACTCAAACTTATAAGTCTTATTGGCCATATAATTAGTAGAAATAGGGATAAAGGGGAATTAGGCGATTTCAAAAATATAAAAAAAACACGGACACGCACAGGACAAAACGAGAGGTTTTTTTTGCGGCCAACGATTTAAGTGCTGATTTCAGTGAAACCTAAGGCAATATTTTAATTTCCCAACTCTTTTTTTTCATAACTATAATATGTAAGTCATTAAAAACAAGAAGGTGGAATGCAATCGCTAAGTGATTTCCTCTGTTTACTAATGCTTACATTCAAGGCTTTCTAAAAAGATTTCACTTGTTCAATTTGCAGTACTGGAAATGTCTCAAAAAGAGTTTTGGACACTTCTATTTCAATGAGCACAGCTGTACATATTTTCACATCGCATTCCAATTGAAATATAATTTCATTAAATATAAGTAGACAAACATGCCCTCCAGTATATCTGAACAACATCAACATTCCACAAACCACCGAAGTAACATATGTACCTTGGTGTTCATCTGGATAGAAGGCTTACTTGGCGTAAACACATCGAAGCAAAAAGAAATCTACTTAAATTTAAAGCTAGTAATCTACATAGGCTAATAAACACCCGTTCACCACTAAAACTGGAGTACAAAGTAATTTTGTACAATGCAGTTCTCAAACCCATCTAGACATACGGCTCCGAGCTATGGGGAAATGCTTGCGTCAGTACTTTAGAAATAATCCAGAGAGCTCAATCGAAGATACATACATACGGAATGAAAATATCCATAAAGACCTAAATGTAGGATCAGTTAAAGATGAAATTGCCAAAGTGAAAGCAAAGTATCAGACCAAGCTTTAAGCCCATCCTAATAGACTGCGCAAGTCTTTAAGTTGGCACACAAGCCATACACGACTCCGGCGAAGAGACCTCCCCACCCAGCAATAATACCTAGCTAGGGACGTACTCTAAATAATTAAGTGTAATTAATTAAATAAATATATTAGGCTAAGATTTGTATACTTGTCGAAAGTCTCTAATAGGGAAGATTCGATAAATAAAATCCCGTAATAAAAAAAAAAAAATTTAAGTATATGGAAATGGGATTTTATTGACTTTTAATTTTTTTGTAAAATGGCCGAAACAAAGATTATGTCCAGTTTGTTTTTAAATCCGCTGAACCGTTGCTAATTATCGGATTATGAATTTTTTACAAATACTAATCTGCAGATGTTTTTAAACAGAGATTAAATAAATTTATTTTCTGAGTAAAACAAGAAGTGTCCTAAGTGAGGGGAAGTTGTAGATAACTTATGTATACATGCATACATACAGCTGTGGTCATTGAAATAGTAGTGCCGCACCTCACCACTTTCAGGACTGTTTTTGAGACACTTCCAATATTCCAAAGTCAACATGTAATACCTTTTTGGAAAGCGATATATGCACGCGGTATAACCCTAAAGAAATCCTATTGCATTTGCATTCCATCTTCATGTTTCACATGACTTAAGAAAAATTCCCATAAAATCTGCTGTTCATAGAAATAGTAGTGCTGGGTGTAAATATTTAACAAAAATAAAAAAAAAACACAACAAATTAATTTAAAAAAGTCACTATCAGTAAGTTTATTTCAGCGATTAAATATTTTGGAGCTTAAAAGGAATCATTGCTTGGAGCAGAAAAGGAGACTTACGAGCTAGACTAAAAACTGAAGTCAGGCGGCATTATGGAACTGAAAACTAGGATTTTTCCACTCTCACTATTGTACTTAACCCAATTAACTATAAGAAGCAGGCTGAAAATCGATTTTGTATGCAAAAAACTTATCTTTTATGGGATGGTCGGCGATGGTTGAAGGCAAGACCATACCTTCAATATTCTCAAAATTTATGAAAAATATTTTAAATCGCTCTGCCAGTGACGTGACAGTTCGTAGACGGTTGATTAAACATTATTTGAATGCAAGAATTTTCAGAAAGCTCCGCGTTTGGGTCTGAGAGTACATGGGTGCACGACTTCAGGTTGGAAAAACGCATGTGGAATGGCCTGTGTCACAGTGACAAAAATACTTTTTACTGATGATAGTAAAGTTGTATTATTTGGTAAGATAGACTCCAGATAAAAAATTATGAAAAAAATAGCATTGGGCATGCTGGGCTGAGCCCTATGAGGCCAAGCTCATATGAAGTGGTACCGCCTATTCTGGCGTTTGAGTATTGACCAAAACGTTTTATGTAGGCAATCTTTATATTACATAAAATTCATATATATGAGTTGAAAAATGGCTCTCAAAAAAATCTTTCTACAGGATATGTGGATATGTGAGGTCGGTGTAAGGCCGTAACTAAAATAAAATTGATTTAAAACTAGATATAAAACCTCAAGAAACATGAAGAATCTGAAATATAGGTTCTAAATTAAGTTTCGTTGTTTTTTTTTTTCTAAAAAAAAATCTACTATATCTATGAAGAGAAGATTTCATGGGTAGTTGTCTAATTTATTTTGTTATCTATTGTTTACATTCCTGTCTATTCAAAAAGATATTACATGTAGAATTTGAAATACTGGAAGTGTATTAAAAACAGTCCTGAAAGTGGTGAGGTGCAGCACTACTATTTCAAAGACCACAGCTGTATATATGTATGTATGTAATTAAAAAAAAATATAATCATTATACATAAAACACTGTGTACCCAACTGATAATTTTCCTAGTCCAAAGCTGTGGACCTAGTGTATACCTTTTTAAATTTACTGGCACCCGTTAGCATTATGAACCGAATGAATATCCATACATTTGTACCTGTTCCTTCCACCGGCATGCATTACCCGCGTCCCTTATAAAATATGCAGTTCAACTGATGTTATCGCCGCCCTACAATCACCGTTGTCTTAAAATGACCGATTGCTGAGCCACATTTCTTTGAAAACATTAAGCAAAATTAAAACCGTGGTCAAATCTCCGGGTATAGACTATTCGGCTCCGCAAGCAAGTCAGCTGTGTTGAGAGCGGTATTTGGAATAATGCCACGCGTCGAAGATACTCCTTATTTGCGTGGGTCCAGACCTAAGAGTGCTGTCTAGTGGTCACGAATGACAAATATAGCGAAACCCAAAATAATATTAATCCAAAAGCAACATACTCGTATGTAAATATAAACACCTGCGATAACTTAAAGGCGCGGTCGTAGTTTGACCAATCAAGCCTAACTTAAAAGCAGTTTCGTGACCGGATTAACGTGGATTAATGTAACTAGTAACGCAGGATTAAAGTGGTTTAATGTATTTAGTAACGCAGGATTTTTCATATAATCTAAGACGGGTATGGCCTTTAATTATGAATTAAATATATTGTTCCCGAAGGAGTGCCCGTTTGGATCTAAATGCAATAGTATTTTTTATAAAGATCGGAAATGAAAGTTTTTATATTTTATCTATAATACTTTTGTCTTGATAGAAATTCGCTCATTTATGGATAAACACTATAGATATATGTTTGGATTAAAAATCCGATAACCTCCTTTAAACAGCCATCCCCAAACTGTCTTAACAGCATGGTTGACTTACACAGTTTGAGCGCTATGGATTGGGACATTATCCAGTTGAAAACGACACTTCAGTGTAGCGGGAAGATTACCTTAGCTGTAAACCATTGTAAGATAATATAGTATATATTACATTCAAATGACAGTTGAAAAAATTCTGCTAACAAGGTTCAACTTATTTAACCTGATAATGACTTAAAATACCCAGAAAAGCCCTCGCTTGGACATTGATTTTACTTTCTTGAATCGAGGTTTTTCGCACGGCCAACTGTCCAACTGGATATAAATCTCATCGAAATCTTATGCTGGAATACCAAATACATTGTTGCATACCAAAATGTTAAACAAAATAAAAATTTAAAAAGCGGTTATTAAATAGTTACTAAATATATTAGCCTTGGCAAAAGACCAAATATAGCCGGCCGGTAAAAAATCGCAATGAAAACTTCAAATTAATTAAATCTCAATTAATATAAATACTTAAAATAATAAATAAACAATAAAAGTTATGGAAATCTATTTTTATTTGTTTTTAGTTGTTTTTTTGAATTTTCTAAAACACTACACATACACATATTTTATGGGATGGTTATGACAGACTAAACGGCAGTGGAACTATGTATGGACATTTCCATTGGTTTTAGATGGCCAAGTCCAGGCTATTATCATTTGCTCAATTCGGATATCTAGAGTGTCTCAAAAAGCCGATTTGAAAAAACCACCACCTTTGGAAATTCTATACGAACCTAATTGCCCAACTGTATGTACTTCAAAAATTTTCGGGACTAAACACCAGGTGTTGCCAAATGCAGCAACGGCTATAACTTAAACGCAAAGTGAGACAAAGTTCCCGAGGATGTTCGCCGCGTCACTTGCAATGTATTGCAAAAGCGCTTAATGCAAGTCAAAACCAGATGATACGTTTGAAATCGGTGCGAAATTTGCCACGAAACTATACGAACTCGTCTGATTATCAATAATATCGACACAAAGGTGAAAGTGATATAATTAAGTAGCGTATTCTTTTTTTCAGAATTTTAGAAAAATGTTGCATCAAGAAGTCAATATCGGAAATTTTCAAAATGTCGCTTAGGATTATTTTGGAACATGTGTCGCTATTGATACTTAATTATATATATATATATATATATCCAGACAGATACATGATATCCCTGTGCTCTTTCAGAACCGGGAATGAAAAGAATTTCATTTTAAAACAAATGAATTTACATATATATCAATCAAATTGTTTACAACACTTACAACGGTATATTTAGCTTAGTTCTAGACAATTTCTGATACATTTAACTTTCTCGATTCGCCTTCCTCGAAGCAGCCCATATCGGCCCTGTACAAGATGCGATTGATTTGGAACTGAACTGTGTGCTTGGTGCGAGTGGAATAATTCCCAAACTTGTTACCCAGATATTGAAGAAAGAAAGCGTCGTCCCCAGAGAGGGTCGTGGACGGTCCGAGAGCTAAAGAGGAAGTCGCTTGAGCAGAAGGTGAGCTGGTCATCGTCAAGGTCGCTGCAACGGGCGGCTGTGACTGGTTTAGTGACTGTGAGTAGCGCACCTCATCGTCATCGATCAGTTGGTCGTCTGACTGATCTACATCCACTATATCTGGTACCTCCGACTTCCCAATGAAGATGCTCTCGAACTGTTGACTGGAGAGCCTGCTGCTAGAGGCGTCCTCATATTCGTCGCCCGTTTCCATGGTGGTGGTCATTATCGAGGCAGGTTCCTGCAAAGAAATTATAAAGAAATTATAAAGAAGAGGTTTTTTCCTACGTATGAAACATACAATTGTGTTGAATAAGGGTTGTCCAGCGCCGCACGTCAACTTTCAAAACTCTTTTTAAGATAGTCTAGTCTTTCAAATTGAACAAGTGATACCTTTACGGAAAGCCTGGAATGTAGGCATTGGATAACCGAAGAAACCCCGTTACATTTGCTTCCATCTTCTTGTTTTACATGACAAAATGATCCCATAAAAAATGCTGTTCAATGAAATAGTAGTGTTTTTATGATAATTAAAAAAAACAACAAAATGAGGTTAAAAAATCATAACTCGTTCTTCATGTTTCTTGAGCTTTAATTTGTAGTTTTTTATCAATTTGGTTTTCATTGAACTTAAACAAGCCGTATATGGGTCATTAATCTCTTCCCAACGCTTCAAAATGATTTCCGGGATAATCCATGAACCACTTGCTAAAACTTGGCTCTGGTTCACGGATTTGCAGTTGCAACAATGTATTTGGTATTCCAGCATAAGACTTCATGAGATTTATATCTAGTTGGACAGTTGGCCTTGGAAAAACGTCAATCTTTTCCGATAAAAATCAATTCCTAGCGAGCTTTTCTGGGTATTTTAAGTCATTATCCTGTTAAAAGATCCTTTTAACATGAATTTTTCAACTATAATTTGAATTTAATGTATTCTAAAGTATACCTAATACACAGTTTCGCTCAAAACCATACTATACTCAAACGCCAGGCTAGAAAGTACTAGCTTATATGAGCTGGGCCCCTAGGCTGCCTTCCATGCCCAATGCTATTTTTTTCATGATTTTAAGTGGTAATTGAATTTCTTGAATGCCAAACATATTCTTTTGAGTCTATCTTACATATAATACAACTTTACTATCATCAGTCAAAAGTATTTTTTTCACTGTGACACAGGCCATTCCACTGCGTTTTTCCAAACTGAAGTCGTGCACCCATGTACTCTTAGACCCAAACGCGGAGCTTTCTGGAACTTCTTGCATTCAAATAATGTGTAATCAACCGTCTACGAACTGTCACATCACTGACAGATCGATTACAAATTTTTTTCATAGTTTTTAAGGATATTCAAGGCCTGGTCTTGCCTTCGACCGTCCCGACCATCCTCTAAAATATAAATTTTTCGCATACAAAATCGATTTTCAGTCTACTTTTTTTAGTTAATTGGGTTAAATACAATAGTGAGAGTGCATACAACTTAATTTTCAATTCCCCCGCCTTAAGTTTTTAGTCTAACTCTTAAGTATCCTCTTCTGGACCGAGCAATGATTTCTTTAACGCTTCAAAATCAAAAGTACCGCTATGTCCAAAACTTTCTTTCATCAAATTATTCAATCACCAAATTGAGTTACGGATGGTGACTTATTTAGATTAATTTGCTTTGTTTTTTCATTTTAAAAAATTAATTTAACCCAGCACTACTATTTCATTGAACAGAATATATCATGGGTAGTTATCTAAAGTCATGAAAAACAAGAAGATGGAATGCAAATGTAACGGGGTTTCTTCGGTTATCCCGTACATTCCAGGCTTTCGTGGTCAGGTATCAGCAGGTTCCTTTGAAAGACTAGAACTATCAAAAAGAGTTTTCGGGGTAGTGAGTGCGGCACTACTATTTCATTGACTGTTGCTGACCGTGCAGCCGCTGCACCGGTGCAGCCAACAGCGACGACAGTAGTTTTCCTATAAGAAAGATGATTCTCGATAAAAGTTATTATAGTTATCTCCAATAAGAAGGATGATTCTTGATAATTATCTCCTATAAGAAAGATGATTCCTGATTAAAAATCAAGCCTATCTTACATATTCCACTATCTGAAAAAAATATTAAAACAAATGGCACTATCTCGGCCAACGGTATGTCTTTTAAATTTTATTAACAAAATAAATCTGTATCCCGGGCATATCCCCTGCGACTTTGGGTAGAATTAAACCACTTGTAATAGACATCAATGCACAGGCACACCCGTGAAAATACCTTGGCTTCAGGCAACTATCTTGAAAACGTAAAAAGTTGGGCCCTTGGTATATGCTTTATTATTCATTGATCTAGCTGGTGATAAATGAAGCTGTGACAAACAGATTATCAAATTCCTTGTATTTTTATGCAATTATTTCGTTCAATAAATATTTTTTTTACAATATCGTATGTACACTTGCTGCGTCTAAGCCCATAAAAACATAGCGCGCGAAAGCATCGTATGTTTAAAAATCCTAGTTTTTTTTAGAACACGGCGCCATTCCGTTATTGGCAACAATTAAGTTGAAATTCGTTTTTGTAGCTGAAACAATACAACCTTAAAGAGTTTTACCTTTATTTTCCCATTCTAAGATGAGTAATCTAAAAAAAACTTATCCTGTAAAGTTTGGTTTTTTCACATACGATATTTTCGCGAAAATGCGCCGATATCTGCATAAGTTGCCATCCAGGTTCTGCTCGACGTCTTACCATTCTGATCATTAGTTTTTTAGCTTCGGAGGAAAACTGAAACATGGAAGACAACGGCACGGTAAGGGCCTCTTGAACGCCAGCATAGTTATCCGTATCGGCCGGCGACTGGTTCATGCGATTATGGCGTAACTGCCTCATCTCCATGAGCTCCGCGTATGTGTGGTGGTGCTTCCGTTTAAGATGGCGCATAAGGTTCTCCGAATGCTTGCCGGCCATGTCGAAAAGGCACTGTAAGCAGGTGCTCTTCCGCGTGTCCTCGTTGTATACGAAGTATTTACTAACAGGGTTCGAGTACTTTTTTGGCATTTTATCGGATCAAAACGGGCGACGCGTTGCATTCTATACGACGCTCGAATACTGAATAAAGCAGTCTCAGTTGAGCAAAAACAAAAACACAGACACGGGAAGAGAGCTGAAAACAGCGTAAACCAGAAACAGAACCGAACCGAAACCAATTTGCCTCTCATACTCGTACTCTGAGAATGGTTCAGTGGCGGTTCAGAGAGCGACGTAACACATGGACATACAAATAACGTAAACCGGTTTCAGACTGTCAGGGCTGTGTGCGAAAAACTAATCAGATCTTGTTGTTGCCGCAGAGGTTTATACTCGATTTTAGTCGGTTTTTACTCTCAATTTATGACGCTTCGCTACTTCTGTTGCCCCTGCCTTGGTTTTGTCTACCTACTACCTACTCCATAATCAGAGCTCAAGGGTATATGATATTCATTTGAATTTACGTAATAGCGTGAATAAAGTGTTTTCGGGTTAAAAATATGGTTGATGGAAAAAGTAAAAATATACATGTAAAACAAATACAGCCGAGGTTCGAAAATTAGCACCCCCACAATTTAGAATTAGAACCGGCCATTTAAGTGCCTGTCGTTCTAATTTCTAAGAGATTTTTTTGTTACCTGCACAGTTTTGCATTTTTCTCTGAATTTTAATAAAGAAAAATTGTTTTGTCTAAAAATGAAAACTTTTCAGATATTGGAATCACCCCAGGAACAAAGTGGTTATAATTTCTGAGCTTCAATTGTACCGTTAATGCACTAAACTATGCGTTTAATAAGACATGAGAAATGACAACATTGAACATTGAAAACGGTCCGTTCTGCATGTACATACATTTAGGTATTAGCGTTGTATTTATGGGTAGGAGCTTTCTTATATCTAAAATATCGCTAACGAAATACGCAATTCTTTGTTTTCGACTAACGTGATGTGACTGCAGCACTTGGTTGACGTTAATAATGTTAATTGTGTGAAAGCATGCATAGACGAAGTTTTACTTACTATAGTTAGATCCGATTTGTTTCGACTGCGATTCAAGTGCTTCCTATTCTCGACTGGAGGATTGCGCGGCGGCCGATCCGGTATGTGCTGGGGGTGAAAGTTCTTGTAGTGACGCCGCACATTACCGGAGAGGTAAATGAGTGTCTTGTCGCAGATCCGGCAACGGCAGCGCTTTCCATCCGGCTGCAAATTAACCAGTGTTCGCGTGTCCATAATCGGTGTTCGTCCCATCCTTGTTATCGCTGTAACTGTAACTGTAACCAAAATCAATTATTAATGACGTATATATAATGGGTATAACCCTTTTATTATATAAACACATTTTACATCACCAATTAAATCATTCCCATGCGAAGCTGGATCACACAAACATACATAATGTACATATGTGTATTTAACTTTGTTAACAACAAACATGTCGTTTCGTAAGCTTATTCTCAATGCATTTTGGCTGTCCTACATTCTACATTGTAGATGTAGAATCTACATTGTAGATCTATAATCCAAATTTCATATGTAGAATAAACATGTAGCAAAAAAAAGTAAAATATAAAATATTTTAAAATTCTACATTAATCATAAGCTCACAAATTTATATACTGACTGAGTACGGGTATAAAAGTAGAGTCGCCGACCATAGAAGCAACAATCTTTTTTTTGGCTCAGCATAATTTACGTAGTAAAATCCATTGCATTTATATCGATATCATTAATATCGTCATCAATCAATGCACTACTCTACAAAACCGAATTTTACCACATATACTTTTTCTGATAGATTTGGGGTTTTAAAATTGTTTAATATATTATGTTTTTTTTAGTATTAAATAGTTTCTAAATTTCAATATTATTTGAAAAAATCGAAATTCATAGTTTAAAAATATATATTTAACAAAAAAAAATTTTAATTTCTTTTTTTGGTAGCAAAGAACCAACAAAGAATTAAATAAGGATGTGTCCGATTAAAAAAAAAAATTTGGTCAAAGTACATACCTCATACTTTTTTTTCGTGATTTTATAACTATCTAAAAGGGGGGGGGGGGGGGGGGGGGGGGGGGGGGGGGGGGGGGGGGGGGGGGGGGGGGGGGGGGCGGCGGGGGCCCACCCCACCACCAGTAACTGAACTAGCTTATATTTTTTGCAAACGTGGCATGAACTTTGTACGTCCACTGTGTCAATTTGAAATATAAATCAGTTTTATTTTTAAAAAAGAGGACAACAAAAGAACAACCATTTCGATACATAGTTTTTTTTTCTTGAAGTTGACATTTTTGGTAGCTCTGTCTTTCTCTCTGTTTCCAAAGAGTACTCGAAAAGTCAACAACAAATCTGTTTGGAGAACGGTATACAAATGAGTGCTTAAGATGTTTAAGGTACGTCAAAGAGGGAGCAGGACTGCATAGAACATTTTTCGTGTTGTAATTGAGGGATCTCACAAAAATTTTAAATTATTTCATTGTTCAATAAGCGTATGATAAAACGAACTTGTAACGTAAAACTTACGTAACTTACATATATTAGCTTGAATTGAAAGTTAAATATAATGGTGGTTTTGAAGTTGAGGTGGGATGCTTCTTGAAAAGTTTCATAATACTCTGTTTATTTTATAGAACATGTGGAGCAGAATATCGAAAACATATGTTTATCGGCGTTGAGAAGTGGAGTGGTAGCCAGGAGCGACATTATTCTCAATATTATGATTATTACAACTGTTGATTTCCGACAAAGTTTTATTTTTTGGTAAATTGTTCCTAAGACGGCTATAATGTAATTTTGTCAACCTTTGGTTCCTTCTAGGGTTAATTTGATCAGTTGTGCCAACACAATAATTTGCTTCACACAAAGCGAGGGCAAAAAGTACAGTTTTGATTGCACTGCGAGAGAGCGAGTGTGAGAGAGAGAGAGCCATTTGGCTCCAAGTGCGACACGTTTGGTGCATTGGAAAAATGACGCTTGCCTCTTGCTTTACTGTCTTACAGCGTTTCTTTTGTCTGTGATTGTTATTTATCATTTTCACTCGGGTTTTAAACATAGACCGACCTGAGTTATTCGTTTTTCCTGTGCCTTGGGGTTGTGGCAAAACGACTTCCGGATGCAGCCGCTGGTAATGCCGCTTGATGTTGCTCCGCAAACAGCCAGCGAGGGTCCTATCGCAAAGCACGCAGCGGCAGAAGTTCTTATCGGGGAATATTACCACCAAGTTGGTTACGTCAATGGTGCGCGGACGTCCCATGTAGTCTCAGAGTTAAGTTTAACAAGTGAACTAAACGCGAACTCGAACGCGAATGCAGACTGCCGCACCAATCGGAACGAGCAAAACGAGACGAAACGAACGCCGGTACGAAACACCCGGCCACTCTCTTTCGGGGCGCTCTTTGTTGTCGGAGCTCTCTTCCAGCGAGATGGAACGATGGAAACTGTTTCGAGCACGTGTGAGAAATCAGAGTGTCTTTCTGTTCAAACGAGTTTTTAATGCTCTCTGTGCGGGCAACGCGAGAGGCTCTGAGAAAAAGCCTTGTATGGCGACGCAGTTTCTATTAGTAAGAAACACAGCTAAATACAAGCGATTAAAATGAACTACTCGCGAATATTTCACGCAGCTCGTGGAAACATGACGTGTAGGCACTTTTTGTTTTTCAGGGTAGAAAAGGGGAAATATATACACATGTATAGATGTATGTAACACCCGGTTAAAGTCTCCATGCTCATACAACTGTGCATGTATTGATAGTGTTGAAAGACTGTAGATGGCATTCTGGTGCAGCTAATGAAGAAACTATTCTTATTCTCTTCAGCCTCTTCTCTTTTGCCCACACGAACACACACACACACACACTCAATCAAACAAATACAAATTCAGATCCACCCTGGAATTTGTACCCAAAAACCTTAACTACGCATAAAAGAGCAGTATGAAATGAAACAAGAAAGGGTGGGGAGGTGCGGCCGAGGTAGACGATTGATACTCTAGCAGATCGATCGTTCGTATGTCAGCATACAAGGGACAGGCATTATTTTTTTAAAGTTATGTTTTAATCAACTTATCCGCTTTTACTGGCAGAAGGAACATACATATGTATATTTGATACATATGTACATTTTCCTTGTTATACCCGTACTTCAAGAGTTGAGGGGTATATTAGATTTGTGGTAAAAGGGGATGTATACAACGCAGAGAAGGAAATGTTTGAGACCCCAAGAAGTATATGTATGTACATATGTACATATTCTTGATCAGCATCATTAGACGAGTCGATATAGCATACATATGTATGTATATAGTTTGTTTGTCTGTCCGACCGTCTTTTTTGTCGCCTTGATCTCAGAGACAATAAGCTAGAGCTAGAGCCACCAAATTTTGATTCCAGACTCATGTGACATCACACTGCTACAATTTCGCTCCCGCCTCCATCCGGCGCTGCTGACGCTACTTATTCTCTTTCTCGCTCGCGCACACTCTGCCCTGTGAAGTGCGCGATCTTTCGCGGAAAAGATGTAGAATATAAATTGTAGATGTAGAATATACATTTTAGATGTAGAATCGTCATTTAAGTGTAGAATATGAATTGTACAGGGTGGCTATAAATAGCTGTCGCACTTGATTAAACTTTAAAGCGATACCACTAAAAATCAAACATGCTCAGACTTTCAACTATTATGAATTATTATTCTTACATTTGTTGGGAATTGAATTCACATAGTTATTATTTTGACCAGTTGATATTTAAAGCTTTTGAGCTGTAGAAGTAAAACTAGCCTTTGTTCAGAATTTAAATTTGCAAGGAAAACGAGAAGGAACGTGTGAGTCGCTTCTGGGGACGCGACTCTTCTTATACCCGTACTCAGACAGTATATAAGTTATTGAGCTTATGATTTATGTAGAATTAAAAAAAATTTTCATTTTTTTTGCTACATCTGTTATCTAAATCTACAATGTTATTATACATCTAACATGTATGTACATTAGGCTGGGCCAATTTTTTTTTCGAAATTCAAACGGGACACCCCCTAGTTTTGTTACAAGGCATTTAATAGTAATTTACATGTTTTTATTTTTATTTTTTAGAGGTTGCTACCGAGTTTTAAAAAAAAATTTTTGCTGAATGAGTTGGATAATTGGTGAAATCTATTGCATATATATTGATACCATTCATATCGTCATTAATCAGTTATTGGCAGTAAAAAACCTGCACAAGTTTTGGCGAACTAGTTTACTAAATATATCAACCTCAGCTGAACTTCTTGATATTCACCAATCGTTAATTTTTTAACAGTAACTAAAAAAAAAATAAAAATACCTTATTATCAATATGAACTAGTTTCTAAGTTTCAATATTATTTGAAAAAACCGACGAATTCAATTTTTTTTAATGTATATATACCCAAAAAATTTTATTTTCTTTCCGTGGTAGCAACCCCCAAACATTAAACCAAAAATTTGAAAAAAATTTTATAATTTTATTGAATAACAAAGAATAGAATTGGGGGTGTCCCCTTAAAAAACGAAAAAAACCGTTTTTGCTCAAATTTTGGCCCAGCCTAATGTACATGTACCATTTAAATTCTACATCTCCGCTAGAGGGCGCTCGCGTACATAACGAGGCAGAGTGTGCGAGCGAGAAAGAGAATTAGTAACGGGTCTCTTGCTGTAGGAGGCGGGGGAAGCAACTGAAAGTGGCTATATCGACTCGGCTATTGATGCTGATCAAGAATATATATACTTTATGGGGTCGGATACGTTTCCTTCTCTGCGTTGCACACATCCACTTTTTCCACAAATACAATATACCCCTTAACTCTTTTTTGAGTACGAGTATAATTAAAAATAGTTGCGCAAGCATTATTTTAATACAAACCAGTTTTTATTTATTAATATATAGTTAACTAAGTACATTAAAATTTATAAAAAAACTTATTAGTTATTTTAAAATTTTGTTATTTTAATTTTGTCAGTCATCAACTTACAAAAATTTCCGCAGGCGTATGTACATATGTACCATGGCAGCCCTATACCCTAATTGATACCGATCCGTGTTTAAGAGTTTTAAATTCTTCCAATTGGTGTTTATTGGTCTTCGCAATATGCTGAGTACCACAAAATCAGGGTAGAAAGTATTACATTTGTTTACAGGCTATGTTGCATGGTCCCAAGCGACTAGCATCATCTTTGGTAGGTATGTATGTACATCCGGCTTCGATAGACAAGGAACTTTTCGTGGTCTCTTGGACTTAAGATATTTACATAGAAAGCTACACGTATAATTCATATTAAAAAAGGGTTTGCCTTCATGGAACATTTTTATTTCCGCCGTCACAAAGAAATTGGGGACGCCACACAGATTTTCCTCCTTTGTGGGCCGGGGCGAAATTTTGAATTACACTTGAAACAGTGTGATATAAAATGAGTCTGGAAACAAAATGTTGATGCTCTAGCTCTTATAGTCTCTGAGATCTAGGCGCTCAACAAGACGAACGGACGGACGGAAAGACAAACCCCTTAACTCTTCAAGTACGGGTATAAAAGGACGATACATATTTTTTTCGACCTGAAAGATGTGGAATTTGTGCTTTAAAATTATGTTAATTGCTGTTCACTGCAAAAAGAGAAAAGGTCGAACAATTTGGCATAAATGTAAATTTTTTGTGTTCAATATTTGAATGAGTTAAAAAAAAAAAATGTCCCTAAAAAGTTCATGTCTAAAAACAATACCATACCATACAACAAACATTTTTTTAGATGCCAAAGTTAAAGAAACATTCAAAATTATAGAAAACTTCAACATTGAGTCGCTATATCTTCAAATATATATTCCTGTAAAATGTAATAAATTTTTGTTGTCAACCTATTACGTTTTGTGGATATCCGGCGCTGCAGGTTTTGAGCAAAAATTATGAGAGTGCAAGCAGTCAGCAAATTGCGGTTCTTGAAATATTAAAAAAAATGTTGGGATGAATTGCAAATTCTAAGTATGAGGAAGTAATCTACTCATCTTGGCCTACAACCTCATTTTTGTCTCGTGCAAATTAAAAATTGATTGTCGCACAATCAAATGGTATTAATACTTTTTGCTCATTTTAGTTCGATTTCGGGAAATTTTACATTTTCCAGGTTTCTATGAGCTTGAGGTTTGGATCAACAACAAACGCGAAGCAGACGCTGTAAAATTTTATATTTTAGAAAATATTGATGAAAACTATATCACTGAAGGCCAATCCATTTCAATTTGAAAGGAACTGAATAATTTATATCCTTTGTAAACAACCACTTACCGAAATGCAATCGTATATTGGAGCGATTCAAATAAAATCGCAATCAATCAATAAAATATATATTCTATAAGCTCAAGTATATATTTAAGTATTTTTATTATTATTAATGGTATAAACCAATTTTGTATAATAAATACGGCTTAAATGGCTTTTTGTTTGTATGGGGACGGAAAGAAGGTGTGGTCCAAAAGAGTAAATTTGTTTTCCTAAATTCTAGTTTAGTCTAACGTTTAGAATAAATGCCAAAATGTTGGAGTTATTTTCCATAGTGCATAGTTTTCCACGCACACATTCACATGATTTGCAGTGCGTTTGTGTACGGATTCCATGGATTCCACGGATACGGTGAGCGGCAGCGGAGCAACAGTGCCCTTTCCTATACCCATTCTATAGGGCCATGCCGAGCCCTTCTAGTATTCCAAATTGAACAAGAGATACAAATCCTGTTTCATTTGCATATCATCTTCATGTTTTTAAGACTTCAGAAAAATACCCATGACAACTGCTGCTTCATAGAAATGTTAGTGTATAGTAATAAACACTAGTAGTACACAAATATTAAGTAGTATTTTTTCTTATTTCCTAATGTAAGAAACGTCATCAGATAAATGCAAAAAGACTGAAAATATTTTTCAATAGTTTTCAAACTTGAGAGAAATGAATTATCGCATATCTTAGTGTGGTTAATTTAGTTCCAGGAATTCGGCGCAGGACTCAAGTGCTGCCCGAAGATTTATTTCGCTGATGTGATGTCGGCACGAAAAGTATAAGAGGTTTCGCTCTAATAGTGGATGTAGGAGGGTGTCTAATGGATTTGGGAGGGTCAACCGAGCCATCTCCCACTGCTGCCATCTGAGATGGAAAGCAATTTAATTGTAAAAATATATACCAAATAACTAAATAAATCGTTACAATATTGAAAGATAAAGCGAAGGGCGGAAATTCTATATTTGAATACAAGCAATTGGTATACAAATGTACACTTAACTATAGTTATAGCTACTATGCACATACATATATCATGATAGCTATCACTTGTTGGCTTTTGTGTAATAGTTATAGTTGTTGAGCTCATTTATTGATTCTTTTCTCTTGTTCCCCTTGGACATTACACACATATGTATGTATGTACATACATATGTTACATTTCAGTTTTTAAGATTTATTCCCATTCATTTGGGTTTCATTTCACAAGCTCTAAAATCAAATTCGTTTTTTGGGGCTGAGTGAAATGAGAGCTGCTTTGGTGCCTTCAAACGACTCCTCCATATGCGTGATGAAACAACGTGGCCAACTCTTACTTGTGTGGGTGGAATTTTCCCTGTCGGTTTCTGTTTGTCGAGCTCCTTTTGGGGTTGAATTTATCCTTATAAGACTTCTGTTGACTAGCCAGCTCCTTTTCCCCGCCCCCACTCTCTCACTCTCTCTCTGTCTCTCTTTGAAGACTGTTTGGAAAAGTCCTCCAAACAAGGGTTTTGCCTTACAACCCCTCGTGCACCCCTCCTGTAACTGGTGTGGGGTTGGGCAGCTGTGGGTTGGTTGGGTCGCTAAGATTTAGCTGATGTTCTAAGGCTTCGCTGGGAAGAATGAAAAACGTGTGGGAAATGTTCAAGCCCGGACTTTAAACCTAAAGCCGGCTAAGTTAGTCTGGTGTCGCTTATCCTTCCAACCTGCCCTCACCGCTCACCCCACACCCACTGCTGCTCTTCCGTTTCGACCCAGACATTGTGCCCTATACGTTGGGTACTTAAGACTAATTGTTCTCTGGGAAAACTATAGGTAACCAAGATTAGTATTTATATTTTCTGAGGCTAATTACTAAAACAAGTTGCGTATCGGTCATACTGCGTGCACGAACAGGAATGAATTATCCATCGGACGGCTGCAAGAGAGAAAACTTAAGAGTTCTCACAGTCGTGTGGAAACGTCTCAGAGCGTAGTAGTCCATTTTTACATTTTCCAGCAACATCAAATTCTCAAATGCCTATTCGACAGGACGGCACTCTGTAAGTCTAGTATAGTGCCAACCGTTGACGAGATAGTCGGTCCAAAATATAGAAATTTTTGTATTCTTTTGAAAAATCGAAAACAAAAAACAAAATTAATAAAATCCATCGAAATTAATCAAAATTGGGAGGCTGAAGCTGATTTAGAGCTACAAATTTGAGATACAAATTCATTGTGCGCGATTCAGTAATGGCCCAACGGGGTAAACTCGGCCAGTGGCTTCGGCACTCGTTCTCGAGTCTGAAGCGGGTCTTTCAGGGAGATCTGTCTATCAAGGGCCGAGTGCAACGACCTTCTACTGAGGTAGGTGATACAGCTCTTATCTTGCCGCGAAAATGATTTCCAAGGGGCTCTACCCCAAAACAGGTCAACACTCAATCGCCGTCGGGAGAAGAAAAGCCCAGCCCCGTCGTTGAAGAGCCAACAGTGCCAGTGCCAGCACCAGTCCAAGGAATATCATTTGTTCAGAATCTGTTTCGCAAGGCCAATGCAGATGAGGTGTCCGACAAGGTGACGGTTGCAAATGCAATGCCGTTTGCAGAAATAAGTCCGGCCATACCCGCGTGCCGAGAGGATTTCAAAATGCTTTCTGCCCCAAAAGAGGCTTCGAGCAGTAAATCGCCATCGACAAGTAACAGGGACAAAACTGAAGCTGTAGCGGTTTCAACAGTTTCCTCAGTAGACCTTTTGGTGGACTTCTTCGACTCCAAGTATGGCACACGAACTGTCGAAAAAGATTCAATGGAAAGCGCAATTACAACAGCAATTCCAAGGGATCCCCATCCCGAAGGGGAAAATAAAAAAGCGAATTCCGATGTGTGGGAAAACGAACGCGCACGCCGCACTGCACACGCCGATCGCAGGCTCCAATTGAAAAGGATTGCTCAGTCAAAGAAAATCTGCCTGTCGAAAGGATTGCCCGAGAAAGACGAATTAGTGCAGAAGACCCTGGATGAAAGTGGGAAGTCCTCGAAAGCTGGCTTCAGTCGATCCATCTACTACAAGCGGCTCGGCCCCAAGCAATAGTTCGTCAGCAGTGAAAATATCCAAATTCTAGTCAAAATTAATTCAAAAGAAGTGGAGTAGCCCTGAGATTGGCTAGAACTCTGTTCTTTTACCTTCCATCGTTTCTTTTAATTCCATTTTCTTTGTCTTTTCGGTTTCAATTCAATTCAAGGCAAGTAAAAGTTAAGGCTACAGCAAAAGTAAGTAACAGGAGGAAAAGCAGTTGCTTCAGTACGCGTAGATGTGAGGCCTGGGACCCTTGGGGAAATCGTCAGAAAGGTTCATCCTTGGACTGCGGTGAGCGGTAAATACTCTTCCTTTGACCCTAAAATTTTACCAATGATTTTGTCTGCAAACAGGCAGCTGGACCGAAAAATCTACTGGAATCTGCAGTAAGAAAGTGAGCTGCACTGGAAGTGGAGGTAGATTTAATCAATTTATGCCGAACAGCAGATATATTTGCTCCCTACAGGCAAAATATCATCTGCATCGACCACTCCAGAAGATGGACTCAACCAAGCAATAGCAATAGGTACCGAAAGGCAATTGGAGTCGACCAATCCAAGTATCTGCGTACAAATTCAGTTTCGGTTAATTTCCAGAGGGTTTATCGGTAGTGGGCCAAGTATTAAATATGTGAAATTCAATCAAAACTCTTTTAGTGGTCAGCTCTTTTGTGCTAGTATGGAGGCTCGGAGGGATTCCCTTGTGTGTCAGATTTGCACCATCATTAAAATCCTCATCGTCAGCGTTTGTAATCTAATTTGCAATCATCATCCCCCCAAGCCCCCATCCCCATTCAGCCCGGGTGTCCAGCCCGAGTGTGGGAAGCCGAATAGGGTGGCAGGATAGAATGAGCACGTGGATGGAGGAGGAATCCCTTAAATTTTGCATGAACCCAACCCTCATCCGAGCACCCGAACACCCGAACCCCAACTCAAACCTAACCCAAGCCATGACAATCTTCTTGAATGCCACTCCGAATGGCTGTCCCGTTTTATGGGCCATAAAGCCAACAATAGAGGCGTCAAATGAAGGGTGGCAGCGGAGTGTGTTCTGACATGAACTCCACGAGTATCTCCGTATCAACTCGAAATAAAGGTTGTCTAGGAAAGTTTCAAGTGGTTCCGTTTCGGTTTCGGTTTCGGTTGCGGCAAAGAAGCGGAAATTGAAATGAGCTGAGGAATCAATAATATATCAATTTGAACTGCATTTGCACAAGAGAAATCGGATGGTCCATGGAGAAGAGGTTGTTTCAAAGTAGACCCTAATTAGCATATTCACATTCACCTCAGGTTGACCCTATCCTCTCTCTCAATCAAGTACAGGTGCAGTCGAAGTACATAATAAGTAAGAGTATATTTACGATTATTTGTATAAACGAATATCAGACGGATGTGTCCATAACAAAGTGGGCATTTTCCTAGACGGATTTCTCGCATTCGCATGTTTATTTTTACAAAGTGCAATTAGAGCGTAGTTTAAATTAATGGAATATACTAGGTGTACGTGTAATCTATGTGGTTTTAGATGCTGGTGCTTTTCTGGATGCTGTTGCTGCTGGTGCTGCTGGTGCTGCTGGTGCTGCTGGTGCTGCTGGTGCTGCTGGTGCTACTGGTGCTACAGGTGCTGGTGCTGGTGCTGAACAGTATCTGGATACTGTTTCAATATTTATGTATGCAGCTATGCAGCTATGCCCAGCTTGAAAGGGTATCTGGTGGCTAGTGCTAGATTTTTCTTTCAGTTTTCACTTTCGGGGGGAGCGCAGTACTGCTTGAGCTCCGTGTAGTTGCACGGACGACTGCAACAATCGTGGGTGGGACCGTTCTGCAGTGGCCTGTAGAATATCTCGTCGGGAGAGAACCGCTTGGTGCGACGCCCAAAGCTGTTGGCTGTTCGATGGTAAACGCATTGATTATTTGATCTTAGTAGGACTCTCAGGGTCTCGGCGGGAACTCATGGAAACTTACGATAGGCATCGGCCAGCGAGCGTGTGCGATTTCTGCAGATAAGTTGTATGGACTCGGCCAGGATGTCGGCACAGCGCGTGCGCACCCCACCATCCTCCGTGGTCACGGACACGGGACTCGCCTCGGACAGGGAGTTAGACAGCGACAGGGCCAGCATGACTGCGGCCAGCACTACGATAAGCTTAGACGTTGCCACTGCGAGAATCATCTGCAAAGGAAGAAGGGTTAGGGGTAATACTAGAAACACATTTCTCAAGAGTTCCCCATGCTTCCATCCAGGACTACTACCAAACCATTTTCCCTGTAAAGAATTCTTAGATATCAAGACTACTTGTAAACTCCAGCTTGCTTTTGAGCTTCAACTATGGAACTATGTTTGGCTTACACCTGTTCCAAAAGTTTATATTCGTCAAGTCTGTCATCCGCAATGCTTTTCCGGGTACCTCCACAGATATCGCTCGGTACCACCCGCTTCTCGGTGTTTGGGATGGGACCCCAGCTCCTCGTTTATCAGTGTCAAATATTATTGTATTTTTCAACTCAGATGTTTTTGTCTGGCGCTGGGTCGAGGCTTGGTCTGGGGGCTGGGGGCTGAGGCCTGATCTGGGGCTGAGGCTGGGGATGGCCAGGAAATATTTACATAAACTTCAGTGTTTAAAAATAAACCCAGTCTGCCTCTGAAGCGGCTTATCATTTGGAACATGAGTTCCTTTTATACACAATCAGCAACGGGAGGGAGCCATGGGAGAGACGGGGGCGAGAGGCATGCCCCATGCGGCTTTGTTTTTGTTTGCTTTTGAGAATCAGCTTCCAGCCGCCAGACCCGACCCTATATATAGTATGTGGTTCAATGTTTTCCACTTCTTTCGCGTTCGCGTACACTGCACCGAGTGGGAAATAAACAAGAGGCGGTCATCCTGTCCTGTCACACAGTTATCGTATTGCTGCACCCAATCCACCACTCGCATATACGAATCGAAGCTTATGGAATTTCGATGGTTTGTTCGGCTGGATTGATCTCGAATCCATTTCGGATTTCAATTGAATCTTGATCGGCCTGTCGGTAAAGATGAGTGTTCCTCGAATATCAATAAGAGTCGATGGCAAATGGATCGATAAGGCTTTCAATTCATTTCCAGCATGGGATCATTTTTCAAGAAATTTTTCATTGATTCTAAGGAATCTCGATTGAGTCACTCACGGAAGAATTTGACTCTATCTCTTGATCATATCATGTTCAGATCAAGTTCGCAGAGCTACCCATGAAGTGGATGACCAAGCCTAGGCTTAACTAAGCTTGGTGTAGGTTAGGTTAGGTATGACTAGGACTAGGACTAGGACTGACTAGGAATCAAAGTCAGATGATAGATGCGTCGTCCGTCTGTTCTCTAATAGAATGGACAACCATTAACCCACGAATCCATTATTCTTCTCAGGTATTAATCCACATTACTATAAAGCCACCCCAACAAAAGTAATCCTGGTTGTTTTTACTCACGTTTGCATGCTGCGTGTCCTGGGCGTGGATAGAGTATAGTATTCTCCTTGTCTGGACCTTGCCTTATGTTGTTATGCACGTAGATATATGTATGTATTGTGGATATACGTAGGGTATATATATATGTGTGTGTGTGTGTGGTGTGTGTGGTGTGTGTGTGTGTATATTGTATTTTGTGTATATGCGTGCACTCTCTAGAGTTCTGTCGTAGTATCACTTGCCTAAGGAACTTTCTTTTTGGTAATTTGCAGGTTAATTATTTTGCAATCACACCGTTTCAAAATCACAATCAATTGACGAAAACAGAAAACAAAACAAAACAAAACAAAATCGTTAACACTAACGTTTATCTTTTTTTGGGGAGTTCCCTATGTGTTTTGGGGGTTTAGTTATGGGGTTGTGTTACGTGCAAAAAAAAAAAAAACCGAAAATAGTTGGGGAAGCTTCCGTTGTGCGGAAAGGAAAGAACACGATTGCGCACCGAAGCGGATCGACAGGGATCTGAGCTGTCTTTCACTGAGCTTTCGGGATCGATAGGCGATTGGTGCGAGCGTCTGGGCCGCGGCTGGGGCAATCGAACTGTACTCGGGGGGTGACACGGGCTTCTGCTTCTGCTTCGGCTGCTGCTGCTGATGTGCTTGAGTGCTGCTGCTGCTGCTGCAGTTGTTGTTGTTGCATCTCGTGTGGCGTCGTGTCCCTGAGCAGAATTCGATTTGAGTGCGAAATGCGGCCGACGCTGACGTTGCCGTTGCCGTTGCCGTTGCGCTACGATGACGTTTCACGTTGCGTCTGGGCTTGCAGTTGGATGTGGATTTGGATGTTGAATCTCAAAAGTGGGGCGCGCCTTGGCCGGCCCGAGCCAACTCAATGTCCGGCCAATGAGTGATGTTCGATGCTCGATGCTCGATGTTCGGTTGCTCGTCATGTGCGCTCTCTCTCAGCCTTTCCTCTCGCTCTGTCCACTCAGGCTGCTCGCATTTTGTGATGGCTCCTTGGCGTTCTATCTGTCCCGTCCCGCCTCTGTTTCCGTGTATGGCCCGCAAGCTGCGCCTGCTCCGTACGATCCGTTCGATCCGTTCGCTTCGTTCGCTTGCCGCCCTTGCACCCTTTGGCGTTGCCGCTGATTTTGGGCTATCGCTTTCCTTATCACCAGCCAGCGCGCTTTTGTCAAATAAACAGCTGTTGGTCGCGCGCGACACTGACGAAAGCGAATTTCGAATCGAAACTGCTTTACACTTCTCTCTGATCTGCAGGCTGCTCTCAATGGGTTTGTTTGCCCGAGTTTGTGGTTGTGTGGCTGTGGAATTGTTGCTTATTTTTAGACATCAGTGCGCTATAATTAGACTGCGATTGGAAGCTGTTTGCGCTGCTGCTGTTTGGCAGTTATCTCTCTTTGTCCCACTCGTTTACTCTCGCTCTCTCTCTTTTAGTGTGTGTGTCGCTTTCGCTCTCTAGTTTGGCCACTTCCTGCCGTTGGCTTTGCAGTTGCTGTTGCTGTCACGCATCCACATCCACTCCATCCAATTGAGTGCCTGTGTGTATGTGTGTGTGTGTTCCAGTTGTTCGAAGCTTACACTGCACCAAAAAATAAGTGTGTTATAAATGTTCAAATGCTACACTCCCTGACACTCCAATTGCTCCAATTGTTCGAAGCGAAGCAAGCCCCTCAGTGACTTCAATTAAGTGAGTGCGTTCAAAGCTTTCTTTCACTGCCTCAAATTGAGTGTGTTCTAATTAATTGTGTCTCTCACTTCCGCTTATTTAGCCTGCTCTTCGTTTCACTTTCGTTGCACATTCGCCTGGATTCCAGTTAGCTCCGCTCTGCGTTTTTTGTGGAATCGGTTCGCGATTGAGAGGAATCTGATCGGATTGGATTGCTCACGTTCTTCGTTGTTTCACAGCCAAATTGAAAAAGAACCGTTTAAGTGCGGCCAGCGCTCCGCGAAGCCGAAGCCGAAGCCCCGCTCTTGCTTGCCGTCGTCGGCAAGTCGTATTCGTTCCATTCGTTCGCGTTCGGGTGTGTTTCTTATGAACGGTACACGAGGAGTCCAAGGTATACTCTATTCGTGGAGAGGCATGCAACAGGCATAAGGCATAAATATATGTACATACATACATATGTACACATGTGATTCCCCTCAAATAATTATGATTGTTAGCTTCTAACGGACTGAATGCCTGAATGGGATAAATCCCATTGAGAACCACCAGAACGAGTATACTCGTACATACATATGTACATACATATATACGTATGTATGTGCTTACGTACGTTCAGTGGGTATCCCTATGTTCGTAATATGCAGTTAAATGCAGTTACAGTTACACTGCTTCCGGGCCCATGGCTATACATATGTAAGTGCACGTGAAAGCCACGGTCCAGGGAAGCGGCCCAAGCGAACCCCCGTTTTAAGCGTGGAGCCGCATGTTTTGGTACAAAACAAAATAAAGTAAACAAAAGTTATGAAAGAAAACAAATTTCTGGCCATGACACATCCATCCAATCAACTTTGGGTCACTGTGGTGCCACTGTATCTGTATGGGCGGGATTGTGAGTGTTCAGCATTAAGTACGGCCGGGTACACTGACAGTAACATTCACGAGATTGCCTTTGAGCGAAGTATGTACATACATGTAAGTGGTGTCTGTGTGCGTGCCGTTCCCATGTGCGTGTGTGCGTTATCTGGCTGAGAATGACAAATGCAAACAGCAGCCACAGAAACAGCAACAGCAACAGCAACATTAACAGAAGCAAATAGAGTGAATTCATCGGAACAACATCATCCCTGCCGATGATATGTCAACGTTCTACATGTAGCACTCGTAATTGCCACATTTTGGGTATAATTATTTGTACCTCCTTCAAGGAATCTACTTAGGTCAAAAACATTTTTTAAGTAAAGTGCATCAGTATCGATCTAACCAGTCTTTTGGTTTCTTTATTATACATACAGATGTATGTACCTATGTATATGTACATATTTGAGTTGTATTTTTGATTGGAATTCGCTTCACTGATTGTGGACTGTGAACCGCAGTTATTTTCGATGAGACTGGCAGGGGAGACTGGAGCGCCTGTACGAGATTATTACAGATAATTGGCACGGGCATTCCTTCCTGACGGTCTGGTCTGGTCCTTGGTCTAGGGTTATGGCATGGCATCTGGCTGGGGTCCCATGTGTATACGTATACCCCACATATTCTACGGGCGATCTGGGGTCTTGGGCTTCGTCAGATAATGTCTGTCGATAAGACTTGTTGATGTTCTTGTTGCTTTGGCGTTGGCGCTGCCGTGACTGCGGCTACGACTTCGACTGCGCCTGCAACTCCGAGTGCAGCGTGGAGAAGGCGGCGGAGCAGCATCAGAAGATGAAGAACGGAAACCAACGGGGCATCGTCGCATCGGAGGGCGTGGAGCGTGAGGCGTGGGGCGTAACGCTGTGAAAAAACCGTAAACAACGGCAACGTGTAGTCGACGTGATCTAGTTTTCATTCGAAATAAAAGATCCCTATTTTTAGCATTAATCTCTCTCGCGAGGAAAACAACAGAGAGCGAACGAGAGTTGCTCCGTTCTAAGTCATCTGGAGAGATAAGCCAGCCGTCTTGGGATCTGGCACTTCGTTTCGATGGGGATGGGTATGGTGGCAGCGGGGAGGGTTACTTTGGAGGGACGCAGATGAGGGATGATGGCATACGCAATGCGGTGCAAAGTCCAAGGTGGGATGGCCCACGGAGGAGGCACGCCGCGTCAGGGTCAACGGATGATTGGTCTATTGGGATTTATCGATCAAAGCTGCACAATATCGATAGGAGGGTCGATAGCTGACGATAACTGAATGACACGCTTACAGGTTTTTGCTTCATTAGCTTCACAGTGTATACCTATATAAATAATCGATTAATCGATTAAGTCCCGCTTTATACGCTTATCGTTCGTAGATTGTATAACAAATGTTATCCTACATATATGATAGGATAAGAGCCAACAAAGGACAGCATTTGGGACCCTCATCGAAGGCCGTCTGTGTCCCAAATCGATGACTTGCGAATTATCGATAGCCAACACAACGATGCGATCACAATGAAGAACCAGAGCGAGCTCCCTTGGTTTTTTCCTCTATTCATGCCCCAGCGCCTGGCGATAAGCCACTTGTGGGAGGCCCCACTGAGCTGGCTGGACTCCACTTATACTTCTCCCTTGCCGCCCACAACCTCCCCTCCCCCGCCGAATGGATGATCGATCGAGCAAATATTGTTTACTTGTGCTAAAATTGGATCTCCATTGATTGACATGTGCGGCAGGCGGGCGCCAACAACAATCCAGCTCAGACGCAGATTATTGACCCAGAAGCGTGGAGGAGGTGATGGCTCAGCCTCAGCCTCTGTTTCTGGCTCTGCCTCTTGCTCTGCTGGTGTTTGTTGTTGATGAAACGCCTAGACATCGGCGACAACAGTCCACAATCTTAATTATAGCAACCAAAACAGAAACAACAGCAAAAACCCATCGGGTGGGTTCCCAGTAGAGCAAACTGAACTTTGCAATTAAGTTGCAAGTTCCATAAAATTGAATGGAAATACCTCAAAGTAAATTTAGTGCGTACTCTGCTCATCGGAGTTCAGTTGGGTGGCGCAAATCCTTCATATGATATCATAGGAATTTTATCGGAGGCACGTACATACATATGTACGTATATGTATGCGGGTATGTGATATCTTTCTTACGAATTTACTCGAACCTTAATTCCAGCGAATGCTCAATTTTCGTGAATGTTTATTTGAGCAACCACAACAAATGTAGTACAGAAGCTCGTATAATAAAATAAATATAATAAAATAATACTCATAGTTTTGTATTTAAGAAATAAATTCAGCAACTAAAAGAGCAGTCCATGGCAAACGGAAATAGTTCATAAATTAAAAAAATGAATACGATTCGTTAGATGCTTTGTACCGTCACCGAAACCGCCCCATATAGATCTTAGATCCTCACCTTTGTACGAGTATTCCGATTCCGATTCCAATCCAGTATTTGCGTTTATTTTCCCGCGAGCGATACGAATAAGTACCAAATTATCACCCGATGTCAATAAACTGTCCCAAGCGACCCACAACGCGACCTGTCCCCAGCAACAACAGGATAGCGATATATGTGTGTATGTACATACATATGTATGTATATATATATACAGACCACCAGCGGGCATAGACACACATTTTTGTGGGTCCAAATGGCTTTGAACCATTCGGCCTGACGGGGGTGGTGTGGAATGAAATGGGATGTGAATGAGGCTGAGACTGAGACTGGGAATGAGACTGGGGATGGGGAGGCGAACTGTTTCCAATGAACTGCAATCGGTTAAGAGGCCTCAAGGTCAATGTCTGGCCCAAAAAAACAATTGCAGAGCTGGAGAGGAGCCAGAGTCAGAGATGGCAAAAAACAGTGACGACAAACTTCTCCAAGTGGGTTGATGGTACATATTCAAAGTCCTTGAGCTTCATTCCATAGCCAACTCTGTACACCGGACACCGGATCAATGATGATAAATGATTCTATTCCTGAATAGAAAGAAAGAATTCTTTAAAAGAATTCACAGAATATCTTTAGATATATTAAATAATGCCAAAAAAAAAAAAGAAAAATACTCAAGGTTTCCGCTCTCCTTAGACAGGATCTATTTATTTTGTTAGTTTTGTTCTAATACTTAGTTCTTTGGGATTGATTTAAAATCTACAACAAATGGCACATCATTGAACAGGTGAATAGCCATTAGATGGCCCCCTTAGTTAGGGTATTCAGGATTCATTCTTTGGCTCATTTTATTCGAACTGATGTTGGCTCGCTTGCCAACAGGAATCAGTAGGAATCAGTGGGAATCAGTGACCCAGAAACGGACCCAATGCCATGCCCATCTCTAATCTGTAGCGAGTGCGGCCAATGGCTCCGCTCAGTCTCCGCCGTGGCGCAGGCTGGGATTCGGGGCCTGGACTACGGGGGACCTGTCTGAACTCTGTCTGGGCGAGGCGCGGCCTTGAACACGCCCACCACACGGCCACCGCCTGGGGCCGTTGCACTCTCGCTTTGTGTGGTGCTTCGTGTGGCATGGCAGAGAGCGAGCGGGTGCGGTTGCGGGTGCGTGTGTCCTGTTAACCTTTCACCTCTCAGCATTCTCCAGCATTTTCCGCGAATTGTTGCCCCCGCCCCCCACACGCACTGAATTCGCTGCGCCAGCAGGCAGGCCAGCGATTCCACAGCGACCGAATCACTTGAGCGGCGCGTGGACGTGGACTCAAGTAAACAGAATCGACTATATAATATTTATATTCAAATTCATATCTGGGAATTCATGTGTGCGATTAGGAGCACGATTTCAAATGGAAATAAAATATAAACAAATAATAAATGAGAAATAAAAAACTTTAGCCGCATTTCCAACGAATTCATTAATCATTCATTAATAATTGAGGAAAAAATAACAAATGCGGCAGATCGGATATACAAAATGGGATTCCTACAAGGCAAACTCGGTAATCGGATACAGTGCGTTTCATGGCTTCAGTACTATGCAAAGCCGCATGCAGCGCATATCGGAAAGGGAGTTTGATTGAACATAAAAAAACAGTAATTAAATAAATAAAGCAGGTGTTAAGTCTAACAATGGTGTCACTTATTAATGCTTCAATAAAGGTTTTCGTATACGTTTCAGCATAAAATACTCGCAGCATTCCCAGCTTACATTTTCGAAGCTACTTTTTTGTGCACTTCAACTGAAGTGCGTGGATGATTTACAAATATATGTATATGTATATAAATATATATGTATATATTCACATGAAATGCACTTACATACAAAACGCAATGTGCACATGCACATTTGTGTAGGGCAGACTACTTAGTCGCAATAATAATTAATTAAAATTGATTTTCGCGCGATTAGCCTCAGAGTGTCGGCAGAGTGCAGCCCCAATCCCAGGATGGGAGCAGAAGGGTGAGCAGTTTATGGCAGTTGCCAAATAACAAATAAATAACATCATGGGGCTCGTGTCAATAGTAATCAACACTTTTCATGCGGAATTTATTATGGAAGCCTTGTTTCTTTTGGTTAATTTGAAATGGAATCGGTTCTCGATGCCTCTGATGCCGCCCCTCTTTCTGCTAAACGTCTTTTGAATTTTTGAAACTAGTATCTGGCTGGGTCAAAGATTGTTGCAGGATGTGTCGTCACGGGAGAGTGCATATCGACAGCACAATTTCAATTGTGCCCCCGAGCTTCTCATGAATTTTGATTCTTAATTGGGCGTAGCTTCCTGAAGTGTGTGCATTCACGCGAAATTTTGGACGCCGACCAGCCCGACTGTACCCCCGAGCAGCATGTGGATAGACTTTTTCCTAGTTGACACCTGGTGGGCGTGGTGGAGGAGACGTCGGTCGAATGTTGGAGGGACCATAGCCGGGCTGATTGCCAGCATTGAAGACTTCCATGGTCAGATGTTTGGCCAAGAACTGGGCCACAAATTCCGCGGAACCTCGGTTTCGGTAAGCGGAAGCTTTGCGGTTACGCTTCTCCAGTGCCTCCAGGGCCAGCCAAATGATGGGCTGACTGACGGGCTCGTCGACTGCCGAGCGCGGCATGGTGAAGTTGCTCCGACGGCGGACCGAGTAACCTCTATCGTAAGCCTGAAAAAAGAACTCCTCATCTGGCTCCGACTCGCTCAAGTCTGGAGGGGAAATGGAAGTGGAAGATGAAAGAGCTGTAGTCGGGACCGTATTACCTGGATCTTACCTAAATCCTGCTCCGCAGGAGGCTGCTGATTGTTTGGCTCGACTCGGTCCAACATATTGGACGGATTCTCACGCCCGGCCATTTCAAGGGCTATCATTCGGGGGTGTCGCGAGATATGACCGGAACGGTGGTGCATCTCCCAGCGAGCTCGAATTTGTCCCGGGAACTGAGCTTGGCCCGGGCGCTGGCTCTGAGCCTCGTCTTCTGTTCGTATGCTGACTGCACTGGGTGACCACAGTGTTAAAAGTGCTCGGATCATGTGGTCGGCGTATCTAATTGGGGTCCGTTGTGAAAAAATGAAACTATATTTTTAAAGGGGGCGAAAAACAAGTAAACGAGAAATATTAACACGAAAGAAAGCAGTTCTATTACAAAGGAGACCGCACACCCAATGGCTCCTGTGTATTTCATATTTTATTTCCCATTCAAATACAAACTCAAATCCCGCCTAGACTCAGCGCCATCTGTGGTGCTGCGCTGGGACTAACTAAAGCTAGTGTGCGGCGGTGGCGCTGCCCTGCTGTCTGTCGATAACAACACTGGTCACAGCTGGTAGCTCTACAGCACTGGCGACCCAGCTGATGCACGGCGAACGAAGCGGCAAATGCAAAACAAAAACAAAAGCCAATAAAAAATACGAGCAGGGAATTCATCCACTGATAATTATATTCTTGTTGGTGTCCAAGTGTTTGTGGGCATTTAATCCGTAGAGAAATCAATCAATGGGTGTGTAAGTATGTCTCCATATAACTAAATACATACATATACAGGTATATAGTATATGTATAAGGTTAAGTGCATGTTTTAGTACGTGCTGGCGTGTAGCAGACTGTTTATTATCAGTAACGTGCCATCGAAGTCACAAATTTAGATACTTTTAGGCTCTTCGTTGGACTGTCGTTAGAAGTTAATCCAGCCAAAGCTTGAGGAACGAGCCGAAACCGGAATTCGACATGGAATTGTGAACAATTGAAGGGGAAATGAACCTAAATTACAATAGAAACGCAAAGCAGCTATTATATTATACTACATATGTAATTCCACTCGAACTGGCAAAACTAGTAGTAACCGCCACAATGTTTGTGATGCCCTTGTTCCTAGTTTCTTCTACCTTATCGTCGGGACTGATAGATCGTTTATGGTCAGTCGGTGATGCAATACATGTACATAACAGTAAGCTCTGGCAACAGGTGAACCCCTCTACATGCTGGGGCATGCTGCATTCCACGAAGGTTGCCCCCTTAAATGCAAACCGGTATGGAGCAAGTGTGACTGGCTGCGGTGCGGGGTGTGGTAGGTGTGGCGGGGCTTTGCTGTACTGTGTGCTTGTGTGGTGAGGCGTGGTTCGTGCAAAGAAGGTTCAAGAGTTTTGCCTGGAAGTGAAGTGCGACGGCGGCAAGGTCGAGTCGTTTCGTTAGCCGCACACCGACACATAAAAACCTGGTCGAGAGTGGAGCACACGCACACTGAAACGCAGTGCATGTTGTACACATGTACGTACATGTTTGCACATGTCTGTAAGCTTGTGTGTGCGTCGAACACTGCTGCGATAGAGCCCCAATGTTTCCACTATCGAAGTTGTGCGGCATACGCGGTTCGCAGTCCACGCTCGACAGACGTGCGCTTGTTCTCTCTTTGTTTCTCTCAGCCAACGTTCTTGCTCTCGCCTCGAACATCGCCGCCGCCTGGTGTCTGACGCCTGTTGCCTGCTGCCTGTTTCCTGTCACCATCGCCCATCGCCCATCTCCCATCCCCACCAATCATCGTCATCTCATCTTTATCTTTTTGGCGAACCTGTTGCACGCACGCTCTCCACTCTCTCTCATTTTCTGAATTTTGCTGTTGTTCTGTTCGTCCGTACTTCTCCATGTGAACTGGAACTGGAAGCAGGAGTGTTTGTGGATGAACCGAAGATAGGTGAGTGGAAGAGGAGACGCCAGATGACTAGCGACTACTCAAAAATGAGTGCATACCCGCGCACATATCTTAGTTGCCAAAAGATATCAGAAACGACCGGAACTTGGGCGGTTTTCGGGCAGCGACTATCAAGAATCTTTTCGCAACCACAAAAAAAACCCGAATGACTCAGCGCCGAATCGAGCAGAAATGGTTTCGTTTCCACAAATGAATACTTATAAATTAATATGTATGTACATATGTATGATGTATCCATGCAATTGTGTGAACTATAATCAACTGATAATGATAGTAGTAAGCTGCATTAATAACAAGTTACGCTAGCTGTTAAACGAAGGAAAGGCCTTGAGCAGGAACTAATCATAAAGTGTACTTTCAGGTGGCAGCCCTACTATCGTCAAGCTCTGAACTTGACCAGAACGATCATTCTGAGGCACACCGTCCAACCCAGATCACTCGCGCCGATCAGCTTGCCAATAGTCACCGAGAACAAGCATCAAAGGCACCTGCAGGGCCGCCGTCGCATACACACAATGGGATCCATTAACTGCAAGGAGTACAAAACGACAGGCAATGTCACGCCGAAAAAGGAACAATCCACAGGTATGTATACATATGTACATCCCGATTTAAATATGCAATTATGTATGATCCCTAGTGTTGCGATTTACGTACATATTTACGCACAGAAGTGTGACACAACACTGCGAATTCAAACAAGTTTCTATCAAAAGGATTGAGTGTTTCTTTGGCAGATATGTACATATGTATGTACATATGTGAGTGCTTATAGTGTTCCGATCTTGGGATTTTCTATCTATGTATTCACATACAGACATACAAACATATTTACATTCATATAATCCAATCTTGCCGACCATGGCAGGGGGGAAAGTCATGTTCCTTTCCCCACTCACACAAGGTCTATTTGAGCCGATTCGAAACCGACAAGACAATAATGGTCTCAATGGAATGAGTGCCGTGCCTCAGTGGAAGTGGAAGTGGAGAGCGCAGTTTTATTTTTTTTTTCCCGGCCTTTCCCATAACCGTTTGCGGTCTCCAGCTGTTAGTGACTGTTATCGGCATTCCGTCTGCCTCTGCCCGCTTCCCGCCATCTCTTTGCGGACTAGCTTACATCGTCACCCGCGACGTCAGCGGTCGTCATTCGTGCTATTCGCCTGCCTGCTGACGGTCGGTCACCCCCCCCAGCAGAGCTCGAGCTCACATCAGAGAGAAGAGAAAACCTACAGCTTTTTGCAAATCCTTGAACAGCCAGAACTTTCAGTTCGTGTGTCTAATAATTTTCGGTAAAATGTTTGCCATTCTTCTCGTGCAATAATTATTGTTTTTGCTTGCTTCTCTTGTTGTTTTCGGTGTTACAAACTGTTTATTTTCTTGCTGCCATCTGAGTCATGCTGGTTAGACAAGGCCAACCGGTTTGTGTGGGTCAGCAGCCAGTGTGTGTGTGTGCGTTGGTTCGTGTGTGTGTGTGCGAGAGTGAGAGAGCGTGTCGGTAGAAAACGAAAAATCTAAAATCATTCCTAATTAGAGACATTGGCATATTAATGTGGCAAAGGGGCATAGACGCGTACAGTGCAGCGAAGAAGTTCACGAACAAGTGCGCAATTTCAGGGATAGGATTGGAAGACCAAAGTATCCTCTCTCCACACTTATGTATACGTATCTTGGGTACTCATTGCAAGAAGTTGAAAAGAAACGGACGAGTAGAAACAGATATTTGTATATAGCGGGGAAATATCCAAATAGGGAACAATTTAGGGAAAAGGTACGTTAGGGCTACGTAGAGAATGTTACTGGCTGCATCCCTGGAAATTTCCCTGTGCTATGAAGGAATTTTTGATGATCAAAACTTGAAAGGGCAGCCCTAAAAGGTCATCCCTTATTCAGCCCACTGTAAATGGAACCTACATATATTTAAATATGTTTGACCTTCCGGGGCTGAGAGCAGAGAGAGAACAGAAGCTTCTTTCCACTAGCTCGCAATGTTTCAGTATTTGATCGGTCGACTTTTCGCACTGATGATGACATGGATGACTGGAGGATTCCCTTTCTTGCGTGCAAGCGTATCATATCATCAATCCCCAATTGAAACCCAGGCCAGCGTGGGCCCAAATTAGCGAGTCACGGAGGCCCCTAATCAAATTGCGAGCGACTTTATGGCTGGGCGAGGTATCACCAGAGATATCGAGCGACAACTCGTACCCGTAATAGATATGCAGGACACACCCGAACCCGATGTGACGATAAGACGATAAGAGTACGAGGGGATTTCAAGTACAACCATATCTGAGTGGAACAAGTGGAGTTGGAGTTGAACACACGCTTACAGGTGTTTTTGCTGGTTTCTCCCGCTCTTTTTTATTGTTGATGACGTAGCACAGTGGCGATGACATTGGAGTAGGTTAGATGAGTCAGTGTGTGGAGTGCTGGGGTGTTGGGGTCATGGGGCGTCTGTTTCTGTTGCCAAGTTCCGGTCTGTTGTGGTCGGGAAAATTCAGGCAATCAATCAGCTGGCTTGGGGGGGCAATCCAAACGATTATCTATACGTATCGATCCTGATGCTTCTTTGGGCTCTTCGTCGCGGACAGGAGTTCCAGTCGGCTGATGGCATTGTCCAGAAATTTGCGCTGCTCTTGCAGCTGCGGCAAGAGCTCCTCGGCGGTCAGTACCTGAAGCTTGGCGGCGGATGATCCCGATCCAGATCCTGAGGCGGATTTCTCCGACTCGGTCCAACGGTTACGCAGGCCAGCGGCCGACGGTCGGAGCATGTCCAGGACCCGCTTGATTATGGAGGGACTACCCTGCTGCTGGGTCTGGTGTTGGTGCTGGTTCTGGTGCTGGTTCTGCCCCTGCTGCTTATGGTCCTGTCCATTGTCAGTGGCTATGGTGCCCTGTGGAAACTCCGGCATTGTGAGCAACGGTGTCCAAAAGAACGAGCCGAGGCCGGAGGGGGCCGGGGTTGCTGGTGAACTGCTGCTAGTCGGGTGGCTGTCCAGCTGCTTGCCTTGCTGCGCGGCAAAGCGTTCGTCCAGACGCTCCAGATGATGCTTGAGGTCGTCCAGCTTGTGCTGCAGATGCTCAAAGTCGGCGGTCAGATTGATGGCCAGCCGCTGGGTGCTGCTGCTCTCCTCCGAGGGGCTGTAGTTGGAGTTTGCCCCGTCAGCTCCATGGGCCGCCTCCAGGTGGTCGATTTGCAGCCGCAGCTGCTGGTCCCGCAACTGAAGATCGTCGAGCAGCAGCTGCGTCTCCGTGCCCAGCGGCTGCTCTATGTAGATGCGCTCGATCTCCCCCAGAAGCCTTTCCCTGTGACTGCGAAGCGACTGTAGCTCCAGCTGCTGCACAGTATCGCAGGAAGACAGGCCGAGGCACAAGGCCAGGGCCAGGGCCACCAGGGCGACGACGAGTTCTGAACACGGCCAAGACATTTTAGAGACTGAGGAGTCGATCCCATACCAGCCGCTTTCTACCTGAGCATCTGGCATAGCAGGCAGAGCAGGCATAGCACCTACTGACTTTCCCCCATGCCCTGCCCTGCCCTGCCCCTGTCCCATTGTTCAGTTGGAAACTGGAAAACTAGAAAATTTTTTAAGTGCTTCATTTTCTGATTTGTGAACAGATCCGTTATCTGCCGTCGTTAATTTCTTCTTCTTCTCTTTCTGTGTTTGTGTCTCTGTCTCCGTCTCTCAGGTGGCGCCGTGGGTTCCTATCAGTCCAAGTGCAACAGCAGCAGCGACAGCAGCAAAGACGCGAGTATGCCAGTCAATGCCAATCAGCCGGATGCGGATGGCGTCGAGTACACGGACCCCGTGGCCGTGTGCAACGTGTCCGACCTGAAGGAGAACGAGATGAAGCAGGTGGACTTCGACGAGGACACGCGCGTCCTGCTGGTCAAGCAAAACGGCCGCCTGCAGGCGGTGGGGGCCAAGTGCACCCATTTCGGGGCGCCCCTGAACACTGGCGCCCTCAGTCAGGGCCGTGTGCGCTGCCCCTGGCATGGGGCCTGCTTTAACCTGGAGACGGGCGACATTGAGGACTTCCCCGGCCTCGATTCGCTGCCCTGCTACAACGTGCAGGTCAGCTCCGAGGGGCAGGTGATGCTGCGGGCCAAGCGGGCCGATCTGGCGAAGAGTAAGCGGGTCAAGAACATGGTAGCGCGCAAGCCGGAGGATCAGCGCTGCTTCATTGTGGTGGGCGGCGGACCCTCGGGTGCCGTTTGCGCGGAAACGCTGCGTCAGGAGGGCTTCACTGGCCGCCTGATTCTCGTGAGCCGCGAGAACTACTTGCCCTACGATCGCGTCAAGATCTCCAAGGCCATGAACCTGGACATCGAGCAGCTGCGGTTCCGCGACGAGGAGTTCTACAAGCAGCACGACATCGAGGTGTGGCTCGGCGTCGGAGCCAGCAAGCTGGACACGGCCCAAAAGGAGCTGCACTGCACAAATGGCTACGTGGTGAAGTACGACAAGATCTACATTGCCACCGGCTGCTCCTCCTTCAAGCCCCCCATTCCGGGCGCCAATCTGAACAACGTGAAGACCATCCGTGAGCTGGACGACACAAAGAGCATCATCGCAGCAGTCAGCGAGGCGACTCGCGTTGTCTGTCTGGGCGCCAGCTTCATTGCCCTGGAGGCGGCCGCCTCGCTGGTCTCCAAGGTGGCCAGCGTGACCGTGGTGGGGCGGGACAAAGTTCCGCTCAAGGCGGCCTTCGGGGAGCTGATCGGACAGCGTGTGGCCCAGCTGTTCGAGGAGAACAAAGTTACCATGCGCATGGAGAGCGGCATCACCGAGATCATTGGCGACGACGACGGCAATGTGGCGGAGGTGCAGCTGGCGGACGAAACGCGCATACCGTGCGATCTCCTCATCCTCGGCACCGGCTCCACGCTCAATACCCAGTTTCTGGCCAAGTCCGGCGTGCGGATTAATCGAAACGGCTCTGTGGACGTCACCGACTTCCTGGAGTCGAATGTTCCCGATGTGTATGTGGGCGGCGACATTGCCAATGCTCACATCCATGGGCTGGCCCACGATCGCGTCAACATCGGCCACTACCAGCTGGCGCAGTACCATGGACGCATCGCTGCCATCAACATGTGTGGCTCCGTGAAGAAGCTGGAGGCGGTTCCGTTCTTCTTTACGATGCTATTTGGCAAGGGCATCCGCTACGCCGGCCACGGCTCCTACAAGGATGTCATCATCGACGGCAGTCTCGAGGATCTCAAGTTCGTGGCCTACTTCGTCAACGAGGCCGATACGGTTACGGCTGTGGCGTCGGTTGGCCGCGATCCCATTGTGGCCCAGTTCGCTGAGCTGATCTCGCAGGGAAAGTGCCTGGGTCGCGGCCACATCGAGAATGTCGAGAACCGCGAGGCCTGGACGGCCAAACTCCTGGAGCCGCTGCCTCTGGTGCGCTAGAGGTAGAGCAGCCAGGAGCAGCTTCCAGCCCCCAACAGCTCTCTGGAGCCCCCCGCTGGCCGCTGGCCGCTGGCCTCTGCCTGTGTCTGTGCCTGTGGCATGCAACTGCAAACTGCAAGAGATTTGTCTTTATATTTTCTATGCAATCGTTGAGGTGTTCGGTGAATGCCTGTACACGTTCGTCATGTATGTACATGTAAATGCATACATAACATACATACATACATACATACATATGTTCTGGAGTTACGCTAAATTTGTTGAGTTTTGTACACTACCGCCGGTGGTCCATTGGCTGGGCCCAGGACCAAAATCAAATCACTTTTTCCTTGCCTTAATCAAAGCGAACATGCAACAGTCATTGTCAGTGTAGATTCACATATATTAATATCCCCATTTGCTACTTGTAAACAACACCACCCCACCCAACCAACAACCCACCCCCCCACTGTAACCCAATCTACCTGAACAACGTTCGAATTTGAAATTCCAAAATTAAAGTATTAAATACAATGTAGACGCAACAAAAGCAAAGGCCAATTGCCTACCGATGGGGGGAGGCGCCTGTGGGCGTGGAGCCTGCTCCATGATAACTTGTTGAAGCTAAAGCCAAGCGGGTAAGGTTTAATCAAAATCAGTAGGAGAGACGAATCAGTCTGTCCCTGAACGACAAGTTGGTCTGTATTGTATACATAAGTGCATAAGTGCAGGATTCAGTGTAATCCTGCTTAGCAGACCATGGAAAGGACAGCCGACTGCAGTCTGTGAGGATTATTTGTTTCAGATATTAACGGTTGTTGGTCATGGATCAACAACATCGGGTCCCGTGCAGCACTGTTTCGTCGATAAAAACGGTCTCTATCGATAGTTGTGCTACTATCGGCCACGAGATGGCAACGCTGGTCTTCAAATATCCAAAAGGTGGCAACTGTTTACGCGGAGCCTGTGTGAAAGAAAAATTGCAATTTTTTCCCAATTCACACACACACCACACCACACACAGACACACGCACTACACCAAAAAAGAAAAACAGGCGAAAAACGCCCAATAAATTCGTGTCGGCAGAAGAAGTGCGGCAGCACAGAGAGTGCAACTCCAAACGCAAACGCAAACCGAAACGGGCACCAGCGAGAGCCAAGCATCCAACTGCACTGTAACCGGGACGGACGGACGGGGCCACAGCGACATTCCAGCCGAGCTGCGACCGAGCACAGCACCAAGAAGAAGAAGAAGAAGAGGAGGGAGGCCAATTTACGTTTATCAATTATGAATTTCCTGGGCTTTGGCCAGTCAGCCGAGATAGAGATTGTCTTCGATGGCGCCGAGCACAAGACTGCCGAGGTCAAGGGTGAGGACGGCAAGGTGGAGAAGATGCTGCTCTTCTACGACGGCGAAACAGTGTCCGGCAAGGTGAGAACGGAAGAGGGAGCACAGGAGGCAGCCACTGGGCAGGGCACAGTCGGTTGTGGTTGTTGTGCAGATGCGGAGGGGAGGCGTTGCCTTGGCTAGCTTTTATCGGCATCGCTTGTTCACTCACACACTCACTCACTCAGTCCAGCAACTAACTCAGTTCTTTCCTCTTTCCACTATCTGTATTTCTGTATCGTTTTCCGCACTGTCGCTCGCGGCATTATCTAGGTGAACGTGACGCTGAAGAAGCCGGGCAGCAAGCTGGAGCACCAGGGCATCAAGATCGAGTTCATCGGACAGATTGAGCTGTTCTACGACCGGGGCACCCACCACGAGTTCAAGTGTCTGGCCAAGGCACTGGCGCGTCCCGGGGATCTCATCCAAAACAACAGCTATCCGTTCGACTTCCCGAACGTGGAGAAGCAGTTTGAGGTGTATGCCGGGTCCAATGTAAGGCTGCGCTACTTCCTGCGCGCCACCATCGTGCGTCGGATCAGCGACATCACGCGCGAGGTGGACATCGCCGTGCACACGCTCTGCAGCTACCCGGAGATGAACAACCCCATCAAGATGGAGGTGGGCATCGAGGACTGCCTGCACATTGAGTTTGAGTACAACAAGAGCAAGTACCACCTGCGGGACACAATCATCGGCAAGATCTACTTCCTGCTCGTCCGCATCAAGATCAAGCACATGGAGATAGCGATCATCAAGCGCGAGTCCACCGGGACCGGCCCGAACATGTTCAACGAGAACGAAACCATCGCCAAGTACGAGATCATGGATGGGGCGCCGGTCAAGGGCGAGAGCATACCCATTCGGGTCTTTCTCGCCGGCTACAATCTGACGCCCACCATGCGCGACATCAACAAGAAGTTCTCCGTCAAGTATTTCCTCAACCTGGTGCTGATGGACACTGAGGATCGTCGCTACTTCAAGCAGCAGGAGATCACCCTGTGGCGCAAGGCGGACATTCCCCGCTACCACGTCGCCCAGCATCAGCAGCAGCAACACCAGCAGCATCAGCACGTGCCGCTGCATGCGCCGCCACATCTGGTGAGTGGCCCTGCGGCACCCACAGTCGCCCCCTCCCTCATCAGCACCAGCACGGACAGCGGCGAGGGTGCGGCCACAGCCGGATCTGGCATTGGCCTTGGCGTCGGCGACGGGGTGGCCAGCACCGAATCGAAAATGGGCCTATTCACCAGGGAGAGCCCCAACCAGGAGTTTAGCCAGCAGCAGCTAGACTCCCCACTGCCCAACTCGCCGCCGTTGACGCCGCTGAACGAGAGCCCGGCCGAAAGAGAGGTCCGAGTGGAGCCAGCGTCAACGCCAACGCCTACGCCGGCGGCTGAATCTGATCCAATTGCAGTTTCAGCTTCAGCGACATCGGCACCAACACCAGCACCTGAACGAGGGATGGGCGATGGTGCCGCAGCGGCCACTGCAAGTGCCTCGCCCATTGCAATGCTGTCCAGCTCGCCGCCACCGCTCCCGTTGCAGCTGCCCCGTTCGGATGGAGGTGCGGAAACAGCGATGCAGGATGCCCCGGGCGATGGGCTGGATCTGGATGGCGAGCCCACTGACGATGCCGAAGTCACGTACCCGGCGGCTGCGAAAAAGGTCAGCGCTTCGCCTCTGGCCGCCGATTGAGAAATATGCGTGGATGGATTGCCACGCACCGGATCGGATCGGACCGGATCGGGCTGGGAGTCGGAGTCGGAGTCAGAGTCGGACTCAGCTTGTAGTGGAATGGAGGAGCAGGCAGAACTATTTACGTATATTAATCGTAGACAGCAGAAGTAATAGCAGCAGCAGCGGTAGCAGTAGCAGCAGCTGCGGCAGCAACAGCAGCAACAACAGCAACAAAACAAGCATACATGCATCTATTTTTTTAAAGTTAATTTAAAATTGTTACAAAATGTTTTATCGAGGTTATGCGCATCATTTACACCAAATCAACCAACAAAATAATCAAACGAAAAGCGAAGCATAGAAAAAGGAAGAGGAAACCCAGATAGAAGCGTAGAAAGAAAAGAAAGAAAGAAAGAATGAATGAAGGAATGAAACCTCGTAGCTACATATGTATATCCCCATTCTCTTTCGATGTTAGAGATAAATTCTATTGGTAATATTGCTAGAAACGATTGATGTTGAACCTGGAGGAGAGATCAGCGCTTGTTAACAGACAAACCCCCGGACTTAAGTAGCACCCAACCCCACCCATCCGCCATCCCACCCCGAACTACATATATATATATACATATATGGATCCGAATCCGATGCCATTTTCCCATCCCAACTCTGATCATTCCCTCACAGTTCGTTCCCACAGCGTTTGGGCGTTTGGAAAATCTGATTTTTCAATAAGAGACATACATACATGTTGAAAGTGCTTTCTAAAAGTGAGAATCCCTGAAATTGTGCATTAAAGTAATCAAAGAAACGAACTCTAATACAACAAAATATCACCAACACACACTTGCAATAAATTTATAGTCGGATCTTGGGAGCGGAGCTGCTGGGTGGACGAGCAGAGCAGAAGGAATTTGAGCTGAGGGCGACGTAGAAATGATGAAAAATGTTACATGCCTTGCATATGTACATAACATACATATATAAATATATACATACATATACACACACATTAAAATGCAATTTATCGAATAAAAATGACACCAAGAAGAGCTCTAAACACGAAATCGACAGAGACAAGACTACATATACTACATATGTGCATACACATGTATGTATGTCTGTTCCGGTGTGCTTTGGAGAAGGCGTGCTTCTTCGCCATCAGCTGTTGTAGATAAACGCAAGGGGGATGACGGGATGATACAATTAAGCTAGGTTTCACATCTGTTCCTCTATAATATCTGCCTTAAAATATCCTGTGATTCGATGCGCTCCAGAAAGAATTTCCAAATATAAATGTCCCAACAAAATGCTGAAGAATATTGTAAATCATGTGAAAACTTCTGCAGGAACAGTCGCCACATACTATGGAACCCTCAATGGGGAGGGGCTGCGATGCACCACCATGCAGAAGCTCCTCGCTGCGCTTGCCACGAAGCCAGTATAATTACATAATTTCCATATACATAATCTATATTTACTTTATAATTAATTTAATGCATCTTGAGGGTGGAACATGTCGGTCTTAAGCTAGTCCCAGGTCTCCTTGACCTTCAGGTGATTCAGACGCTCCTCGATGGTCACATGCGGCTTCATCTTGCGCATCGTCTGCTCATCCGTCCACTTGGCCACCAGCTTATCGCGTTTCTGCAGTTCCTTGGCATGGCCAGATGATTGCTCCTGCATAGATTGAGAGAGTGAGTTTGTGTCTGGCTGAGATTGAAAGATGCTGTTTGTTCACTCACCAGCGTCAGGTAGGGATGCCGCAGCAGGAACATGATGTGCTCCTGTCGCTCGTATTCCTGGGTGAGCGTGTCCATGGCCCGCTTGCTGACCGGCTTTACCAGACGGCGCTTCCCGCGGAATATATGTCCAGGCACAGTTTTCTTAAAGAAGTTTATCAATGTCAGGTGCATTTTGCGGGGCTGCTTCGAGTGTTTTAGTTTATTTCTGGAGAAAATTATGCAGCACGTTAATATTTCTGTTGCACAAGCGTCAAACAGCTGATGGATCTATCGGTCTATCGATGGCTAATGTTTTCAAAGAAATTTTCCTAGCATTGCGTTAATTTCAATGAAAGATGATTCATTTATTAATATTAATGTGGTTTTTCCTTTGTTTCGTCTATTGTTTTGATGTTATTAAAGAAATTAAACTGTCAAGCATCTGAAACTACTTTTACAGCACTGAGACGGTAGCGATAACCATAACAAGTGGTAATCGGGCAATTGCCGGTAGTAAAGTTACCGAACCGCACCATTTCGGCCATTCGATCAGGCCATTTAGTTGACTATAACGTACATCAAGCAATTTCGATTTGAGTAAAATGAACTTTGCACGCCTGCGGTTCCTAAGGAGCCTTTGCCAGCCGCGCCAACACTTTCAGACACAATGGCAAGGCCAGCGATGGATGACCACAATCACCAAGCCGCCAGCAGCAGTTACAGAGGAAACGGACGCTGCCACAAAGAAGCCTCAATCAGCGACGGTCCAGGGCCCATCACCCAGGGTGAAGCCAATGCCTTTGGTGGAAGAGCGACTGGAGTCGATACTGTCGCCCATTAGGACGCGCATAATGCGCAAGAAGCGGCTGGCCACCGACGAGCTGTCCGCCCTGGGATTCCTCAACACACGCGGCTATACCACGGCCGAAGAGTACAATCTAGAGGCGTTACAGGCGGCCCTCAAGGAGCAGAATCTGTACGAGACAAAGCGCTTCTTCTCCACCGACAACCTGGATGTGGAGCAGAACGTGCTGTTCGTGGCGGCCAAGTACCCGACGGGACAGCAGCCACGCGAGATATTCTTCTTTCGCGAGGGGTCCGTTGTCTTCTGGAACTGCAGCGACATCGAGATGAACAACGTGCTGAATTTTCTGCGCTCCTTCGAGCGGGAGTCGTACGTTAGTGCCCTGGTCCACGGGGAAAGCGAAGTGATGCCCTACACCTACATCCCGTCAGCGGCCGTCGATGTGGAGGGCGACCTGGTGGCGGAGAGCAGCGACTTCAATGCCACCTCTCGCGCCTTCTTCCAGAAGGGCAAGTTCTTCGTGACGGGCGACAGAGACAGCTTCCTGTACAAGTACACATTCTCCAATGCGATGGCTCAGTCGATCAAGCTGGGCATGTGGGAGGCGACGCTGGACCGCTACATCGACTCGATTGAGCACCTGACGGAGGACCTTAAGCGGGGCCGACGGCTGCGCATCTCTCGGGCGGCCATGCTCCGCAAGACAGGCGAGCTGTTCGCCCTGCGCCACGTGATCAACCTGTCGTCGGACCTATTGGATGCTCCCGATTTCTACTGGGACAGGGAGGAGCTGGAGGGACTCTATCTGCAGGTGTGCTCCTACTTTAGCATTTCGCGCCGCACCAAGGTGATGAACGAGAAGATCAGCCACTGCGTGGAGCTGGCCGAGCTGGTCTCCCACAATCTCAATGACGCCCACCACATCCGACTCGAGTGGATGATCATCATCCTGATCATGGTAGAGGTGGGATTCGAAATTTTGCATTTCATTAGCGACAAGGGCGAAAAGCAGCAATCCCTGGAAGTTGTCCCACTCTCCAGTCAGTTAGTCCCTAAGTAGCGTGTATGCTGATTGGAATAGACTCGTTTGTTGTTTTTATAATATATTACTTGTATTTTCGCCAAAATATAAATATGTTAAATTAAATTAACCGTCTCTTTCCTTTCTATCGACAAGTAGCTTTGGCGTTTGCCAACACTGCTTATCGATACAGAGTGCAGAGTGACTCGGTTCTGTTCTTCGTTCAGTAGTTCTTACCGACAATCGGCAATATAAAAATATAAGAAAGTTCCCAAGGAACTCTGTTGAAATCAGCTCAAAATTATTATCTTTTTCCATTGTGGTTTCCATAGTCTTTAAATGTTAATTATTTAAAACAGAGAAAAGAGTGCAAAAAGAACGAACCGAACCACATGCTCGCAGCTCAAAGAACCAGTCCTTTGAACAGTTGCGAACCAGCTGAGCCACCTCCGCGTTTTGGCGGCATTTGTGCGCAGTAAGGAAAAGCAGGAAGAGACTGAAACCTGAGACGATGGAAAACGCACTCTTCGCCAATGTGCAAAAGCTGTACGATCACAGGCTTTACGAGTCCGTCATCCCAGCGGTAACCACATCCTGGAAAGTCCATCCATACCAGCATATTCATTTTCTTGTGAATCCCCAGGCAAGCCTGTTGAACACTTTGCTGCAGAACGATCGCAATGTGGCCACGCTGGAGATGGAGTACCAGGTAATGCTCTACCTGGCCAATGCCCACTACAAGGAGCGCCACTTCCGCCTGGCCTACCAGCAGCTGGAGTCTGTGCTGCACACACGCCGCACCATGCAGCGGTACAAGAGCGCTTGCCTGACGGCCATCGAGATTATGAACAACCAGTTCACGGACGTGGAGCTGCGCTACCGCCTGGCCGTGTGCTACAAGGAAGTGGGGGAGCCAGGTAAGGCTATCAGCACTCTTCTCGCATTGCCAGCAAGAACGCGCACGCCGCGCATCAACATGCTGCTGGGCCGGCTGCACCACCACGCCTCGGCGGGCAGCAAGGGCAAGGCCGACGCCGTGATGGCCTACAAGGATGTGCTCAAGGAGTGTCCCATGTCGCTGAAATCCATCGAGGCCCTGCTCGAGCTGGGTGTGGATGGCATCGAGGTCAACTCCCTGGTGATGAATGGTGAGTGCGCTGCTGCAATCCAGTGCAGTCCCACTATAATCCACTACAATCCTATCTCCGTTTCTGCCTCAGCTGCTTCTGCTCCCCGGAACATCGATTGGCTGAGCACCTGGATCAAAGCGCTGGCCCAGATGTACGGCTGCAAGCATCTGGAAGCGGCCAAGACCTTTCAGCAGCTGAACGATTCCACAAGGCTCCGCAGAAACGAGCATCTGCTGGTGGAGATCGGGCGGTGCCTGTACTACTACGGCAACCATATCCAGGCAGAGCAGTACCTAAGCACAGCGGTCATGGCCTATCCCTACAATATGGAGGCCATCAGCCTGCTGTCCGTTGTGTATGAGCTGAACGAGCAGAGCGCCATCGAGCAGGAGAAGCTCTTCACCCAGGTGAGCTCCGATCGGGAGTTCAGCCCGGCCCACTGGTTCGTCCACGGCCAGAAAATGTACAGCGACGCCAAGTACCAGCGGGGTCTCACCTTTGTTGAGCGCTGTCTCGATATGGATCCGCGTCACGTCGAGGGCCATTTGTTGCGGGGCAATCTCCTCATCTCGCTGCAGCGATACCGCGAGGCCATCGAGGCGTTTCGCAACGCGCAGGGACTGGCCCCATATCGCTTCGAGGTCTACAAGGGGCTGTTCCACTGCTATGTGGCCCAAAAGCGCTTCAAGGAGGCGCAGACCATGTGCGTCTGGGCTATACGCAGCTTCCGCACCTCACCGCGCAGCTACACGGTGAGTGGAGGAGGAGGATCAGTATCTCATCCGGATCGGATCGAATCGGATCGTCTTGGAATCAAACCTCCATTGTGTGCGTCTCATTTATTCATTTACAGATGTTCGGACGAACGCTCTTCCACTCAACCAATCCGGTGGCCAAAAGGAGTGCCAAAAAGTTTGTGGAGAGGTCGCTGAAGATCGACTCCAGCTACACTCCGGCCGTGGCCCTGATGGCCGAGATCTGTCAGTATGAGGGCGCCACCAAGGCGGCCATCAAGCTGCTGGAGAAGCAGGTGATCAACTACCCGAATCAGAATCTCTACACCCTCCTGGGCGACATACTGCGCATCGAAAAGGAGCCGATCAAGGCTCTGGACTACTATTATCGGGCCCTGAGGTGAGTAGGAAAGCGGCCGAAAAGCCACCGCCAGATTGGTCTGTAATCGATTTCCCTTCCAGCGTGGACTCTAACTGCGTGCGGGCCATAAATGGAATTAATTCTCTAAAGCTGGGGGGCTCAATAGGAGCCAAAGGAGAAGCCACAGCCACAGAGACAGGCAGAGGAGATGGCAGCAATGGAATGACCACGCCCACGCCAACGGACACGCCCAACCCGGAGTGGCAGAGCGTCAACTGCGATGAACCTTTGGAGACGTCTTCCGAATCTGGGGCGAGCCACAATAATGGCGAAGCGGCTGCCACGTCGGAGCCCTTTTGGATGGATGCCGATGTAGAGATGCTCAACAACGAGTGATCCAACACCTCGCCCACATCCCACATAACTAGTTAAGCATTTATTTCTGAATGTTAATCATAATTTTAAGGCTTAAGAAATTGTTTAATTGTAAGTCCACCCAGGAAATGATCAGTGTTTTGAATTTGCACTTCGTTGTGCGGGGCAACAGCTGGAACTAGTTCCGAAGATCACTTAAGCACACTGGCACGCATGCATCAGCTGTGAGCTCAATCGATGAATCAAAAGTCGCGGGCTATGATCTAAGGACATAAAAGAACAGAAAAATATTGTCGATTTGCGCTGACCTTAGATACATAGATCCGTTAATGATATATGCATATGCCACCAAAATATCCATATTAATATTTTCGACAGTCCAAAACTATGTTACCCACAAATATATTATCAACCAAAGAGTAGATGTCGATATATCGCAGCTCTATCATTCAACGAGAAAATGAGCTCTCTCTCTCTTGGTTTTGCCTTCAATGGGAATTCCCAATTGGAAATTTTTTCGCGCGCAAAGCGGACGGAATCACCGAATCAAATCCCAATTTATCGTTGAACGTTCAACGTCTGCATGCAGTTTCCGCTATGCGACCGACTTGCCAACGGCATTTTTTGTGTTGTGAATTTTTTTGAGTTTTTTTTTTTTGGCAAAAGTACCCGCCACCCGTGCAAACGAAATATTTTCAAAACAGTTATTCCGCGCTAGTCGAAAGTCGAGCTACAATCTACACAGTCGTGTAGCTCCCGAACCGCGTTCTGAATGGACATGTGCCCGAAATTCGAATTCTAAAATCGAAAACCCCAAAATTTTTTGTGCATATTAAACAACAATATACAGTACTATATTGATACACATGTTTATATTAATATGATTTAATTTTATTCGGTTTCGACACCATTTTTGTTGTAATTATTGTTCGTGTGAAAGTTCGCTCAGAAAATAAACAATTTGCATAAATTTACTCAGAGATATCTGAGATCTACGAGTATTAGAGGTTGGTTCAATTCTTTAACAACTTTAAGCACACATATTTTATATTGCAATAATTTATCACAGTATTATTCATTTCCGTTCCGAATGGCGTCAGCCTAGCAGTCCACTTTATCCTTATCCAAGTTTGTGGAGGGTTTTATATTTTGTCCATGGGCTTGCGACTACTTATACAACTTTATCGGCTTCACCATTAAAGTAAATCTTAATGTACATCAATGATCCACGGGATTTCCATATGATCTACGTGTACCAGTGTAACAGGATTACTAATAAAGCCTTTTTTCAGATTTCTGATAAATGACCAAAATCGTAATTCCATATCATGCAATCAAAGGAACAATAGAACTGCCCGATGTTGTGCCTTATCAGTTAGGCTTACCATTTATCATCACTTACTATTTCGCGTTTTCGCAAGCGACGAAAGCGAATGGAGTGTCAGAAAAGATGTGATGCAACGAAAGCTACGAGTAGTATATTGCGATTAGTTGAGTTGATTCTTTTTTTTTGGTCGGTAAAGAAATGATCAGAACAGAAGAGAAGAGCACACGCACACGAATACGCCAGAGATTACTGGGCACAATCTGGACGAAGGGAGGGGAGGGGGGCTTGTGGTGGTGTCGGGACTGTGCCTCAATATCAACATCGAGCGCAAGCAAAGCAATATGTTAATATGTAGTGCTTTTATCAACACAAAACAGAAAAGTTCTATCTCCATACACGCACTTGTTGATTGGTTTGCTGGCTCTTATTTATGTACATATACATATGTGTGCACTGTTGTTGTACTGTTGCTGAGGGTACGCTGATTCTGCCAGATTCCTGCATGCAGCTCAGAAAAAAACATGCATACAGATGTACATATGTAAAAATGTAGTTATGTATTCTTGATAAGCGTCAACAAGGCGTCATTTCCGTGTGTCCGATTCATTCCAAGCTAAGAGCCACCAAAAGATAATTCGAACAGAAAATTACCAAACTACATATGTATGTATGTACATATATGAATGTAGATTCCATACCAATGATCGCTCTCCAAGCGTATCCAGAAGCTTCGGCCTTCAAAGACACCCTTCCCTTTTTTTGGCTCTTTACTTTCGTTGCAATTTCCCTAGCCAGTTTGAGTGTGAATTTTGTAGAACTTGGCGGATACGCAGATTCGTCATGTCAACAAAAAATGGTATGGTGCAGAGTTCTCAGTAGGGTTCGGGGCTGTCTTTGGGTTCTGCTTATTTGGGCTGTGTTGTGGGGTGACTCGTGCGACGGGAGTTCCAGGAAATTGAATGATGAATAAAATTAAAATCTGCTGCATGCCATAAATTTACTACACCCGCTCATTCGCTCATCGGTCGGTCGCCCCTCAAGATTTTTGTTTGTTAATTGAAAGCAATAATCCATAATACTGGGCAGGATCCCACATGCATCCACATATGTACATACATACATATGTATGCTTATGCATATGTGTTTTTGTGTTTGTGTGTCAACAAACAATTTACAGCTGTTTACGCCTGTTGGACGCTCTCGAAGAGAGCGCAGAGAGGAATCGAGGGAAAGAGAGCATTGCAGTTTAGTTGAAATTCGATTTGAGACGCAGTAAATGCGTGAAACTGATAAGAAGAGAGACTTTCCGCTGCACTCTCCCGCAGTGGAACGAATTTGCTGATAAATACATACATATGTACATTTGTACATACATATGGAGAAAAGAGCTGGGTACCACAGTCCCGCTGCTTCCATATGCTCTGCAGGGCATGGGAAACGCATGCGCCCTCCATTAAAAACACCTCCCGAACCCTTCTCTCCCGCAGATAGCGTTTTTGGATAACAATAATATTCAGGAAGAGTCTCGAAATCAATGCACAGTGGTTGTCGCAGCGAAACCACTGACTAAAGTGTAACATTTGATGACAATTTGCCAAACAGTTATACTCCCTGTTAAATGATTCGAGGATTTTCACTGTCCTTAAAGAGTTGATCAAATAACATATGTATGTATTTTCATATGTTTTTTAAAACTCATTCTTCTTTGGTATGAAAATATGTGTGCCCAAAGTTTTCTTTTCGCTGTTGATTCGCTGTTTGACTCGTTCACATTCCACTGTGGGAACACAATTATTACTGCTTCATTTTGCATATTCACGAATGTATTTGATCGCTTATGTGGTAGGTTAGAGCCTTAGTTTAGTTTTGACTGGAAATTCTCGATCCACTGGGAACAGTGAGAAACTTAAAATTTACTTGGTCCAAAATCGCAGGCGCTCCACTCTGCGCCCGCACGTACATGGGTCCAACTATTGCAAAAGTGCTCTCTGGTGCTCCTGTGTTGCGGCCTCTCTTCCAATAGTTGGGCCTAGGACTTGCGCGGAAGCTGAACAGAAGAACATTTGCAGCCCAGGAGCAGCAGCAGCAACCCTCTTGTTTGGTGTGGCTGAGATGTCGCCGTCAGTCCTATGGTCGCCGCGTGCTGCCGTGTAGCGGATTCCCGGAGTCGCTGTGTTGCGGTACTTCGTGTCGCGCGGTCTACGTCCTGGGCGCACATCCACTTCCCCGGCTAATTTATTTTACCTTTCCGTGTCGGCTTTTGGTTCTTCTTCGGTTTTCGGCTTTATGGGTTTCCTTTACTTTTCTGCAATGTGTTTTTTTGTTTTGTTTTGTGATGTGATGTGAATAGGCAATAACAGACGCTGACTGCGCTGCAACTACTCCTGCTGCTGGCGTTTTGGCACATTTACCGTTATAATAACGTGCTTCCTTGTCTGGACTCCGAAATTTCGGAGCCAGTGCCGACGCTGTCACTGTCGCTCTCGCTGACTCCACGGCTGCCACCGCAGCCACCTCTCTGTGTCGCTGTTCGGGTCGCGTGCAGAAAAGTAAGCGCAGAATAAACCGTAAATATTAGTGCTGTTTTTTTTTGTTTTATTAATTTTTGCCAGTATTGTGTTGCCAGTGTGTGCAGGGTGTATGCGTGTGGGAGGGTGGCAAGCATCGATTTGCGTGTCGCGCATTCAAAACAGCCACATTCAAAAATCAAAATCGAATCAAAGTTAACGGGAAAACAAAAGAAATCAAATGCCATAAATGCGATTTCCTTTGATGGAAATGTAAGAGATAGAGAGAGAGAGAGGCACATAGAAAAAACACAAAAATAATGAAAATTATTATTATTATTAGCCAGAGTTTTTATTGGAAAACTATCGTGGCATCTGTCTATTCATAGCTACATACTATTGTACATACATTTGTACACATATATGTACATACATATGTATATAAGGTCTGGTATAGTCATCTCGTGTCCTCTTTGTCGGAATGTGCAGCAAGCAGCAGACCATCGTTTTCGTGTGTGGCGTGTCCTTGTCCCACAAGAGAAGGTTTCTATACCGTACACGGCATACCCTAGATGGGGGAATAATGGGTATGGTAAACCCTCTATCAAAGCGAACGGAGCATCAGTTAAGAGAAATGGCAGCTGTCCGCTACTATCAGAACTTTCACAGGACAAGAGCCACAGGAAGGCAAAATTAAAGGAAATTAGTCATCAAAACTAGAATGAAGATACATATAAGATAATAAATACATATGTATGGTATAGGTATATATGGATAATCTATATAATGGTATTGGTCTGTGATACAGATCGAGTCAATCGATACGCTAGGGTACTAAGTGATTCGACTACTTTCAGTGTTGCATTTGCTTGGTCCAAACATGTGGCGCATTTAATTAAAATTCCACATGCAACAGAACCCCGATAACAGCCCCACCCATCCCGAACGAACTCCAAACTCTGGCAATAATAATACTCGAGCTGAAGTTCATCTGAAGTTTCCACTTACAAACAGAAAAACGGATAAATGACACATCACAAATAACGAGGTACATATGGCTATCCATATGTATGAACAAATTGTGGGTGTAATTTATACATCCATAAATTATACATACATATGTATATTTCTGCATTGCATTTACAGACAAAATAACTGAGGGATCATCAGACGAAGAACCACCTAGGGACCACGACATAGACCTGTTATATGATAATTATCGTAGAACTTTACAACTGTATCGATAAGGAAGCAAATCCATGAACAAAGAGAGATATTCCCTTTGCTGTAGAAAGAGATAAGATAGCAATGTTGACTGCAGGGAAACTATAGCAATGTAGCTATAAATACATACTAGCGAAAACTTGGAGTGTCGACGAATAAGGAGGTATCCTTAAAATGATATTGAGCACATAGAGTCCGTACCTAAGGAAAGCAAATTGAGAAACATCGCGAAAATTGTTCTACAAATACATTTGCGTAATAAATTTAGCTTTGGGAGAATGTTCCCAAAGACTTTTAGTCATCTTAAGCCAAATAGAATTCAATGAGAATGGGAGCTCTGTGACAATGAGACTTCCTTTGTTGGCCAAACTATTTGAAGGCCTTTTAGGGAGAATTCCAATGAGTCAGATCCCGAGTACTGCCGCCCTCCCACCCACCTGGTGCCCATGGGGCACCTCCTCGTTTGAGGTGTTTTGTTGCCTGGAGATTGAGTCACGTCAGCTGTTTCGTGGCAGAGAGAGGTCTGACCTTGATGACCGCATGCGCGGGCATTCGTCACGCACTCCTTGTGTCCTCCCCCTCGCTGAGAGCAGAGGCGAGGAGAGGGAGTTGCCGAAAAGGTCAGCGCAATAAGCGCAATATTTTATGCTCGTATGTGGCATTGACCTTGCCCAATTCCCAAGTACCTGCAGTTTGTAGCCACATCGTGGAAACTTCTTGAGAACCGCGGGCTCTTTCGTGGGAAAATAGTCGAGCGAGCCACCAACGCAGAAGGTGTCGTCAATTTACGGCCCCTGGGAGGTGGTCTGTGATGATTGACTCACCGCCAGGGACACCTTAGGACCACCTAGTACCCATAGAGGGCAACAGGCACAGCACACCCAATGGTGAGGATTGGTCTTTCGGTGGAGTGGAGTTTCATTCCGTTCCGTTTCGTGTGATGTGATGTGTTCTGTTTTGCTGTGGATGCGGATATTTCGTGTTTGACGTTTGTTATTTTGTGGTTCTCTTTTGCACTTCCGCTTGTCAAACATTTGTCAGCTTTTAGCTTATTGCCAACTTCTGTACCCACCGATGCCACTCTCTGTCTCCCGCTCCCGCTCCCAATGTCTATGTCTATGTGCGATTGCGAAACAAACCTACACCGAATCTGAATCTGAATGGGAATAGGAATCTGTATCTGAATAGGAGACTGAAACCGGGACGGAGTCAGGTCCGTCTGGTCCGTCTGTAGAGCCCACCTTTGGCGGCGGGCCTCTCGGGCGGGTTTTAGTTGTTTCTTTTCGCTCATTTCATCGCATATTTACGTAGGCCATTCGAGCCAAGTTAACGCCTTTATTTATTGACTTATTTGTTTAGACCACCACCTCTACCTACCTCTCTCTCCGTCTCTCTCTCTCTCTACCATTCGGTACGGCGGGGTACAGTGCGGTACAGCGCGGCACAGTGCGGTGCGTGTGTGTCGCTCACTCACGTTTCAATGACAAAAAGCAAATAAAACTCCATTTACCGTTTTCCTACTTACGTTTCTGGTGATGTCACACACTCGCCACACGGGCCCACCATCACATCGTATTATAGATTCATATAGCAGTACCATATACCCGACCATCAAGCGTCTATCCATCATCCACATATGCACATTGTACATATGTAAACGACAGTTTTTCATTCTCGATTTCCTTTCAGCTGGGGAAAATCACCAGAGAAGAATCAGAAAACGGAAAACGGAAAACGAACAACTTCGAGTGACATCAACACATAAAATCGGTAAGTTAAGAGAGTTGTTTATAAGTTTATTGGGTACTGTTATCTATAGTCTAAATGATAAAGGATCGGTCCAGCACAACTTGATTAGGGATCAGGTATGGATTTCTTACGGTAGTGCAGTTGCTCGCCACCTGATTAGTGATTGTGATGCATCAGCAAAGGAGCATACTAATGGTACGATGCATTTTCTTGATCCACATCATGGTGTAGCTGAATACTCCGCTTTTACGAAGCAAATATGCTTCGAACGTATATTACGATACGTTCTGAGTCGATTTTATTTACAACGGCGCGCATACATGATGCATGAGGCATGATACATTCTGCTGGTGCGCCAGGCTTTCTTTCGAATTTCCCCAAGAATCAGTGATAAGGAACAGTCAGTCCTTCTATTAAATGTCTTATTCCAGAGAAAAAGAATCCTCCAAGAGCATAGCATCTCTGAACACCACATTCTGCAGATAGCTGAACGCTTGGCGAAGATCTGCCACGATCTAGATTCTAGAAAGAAATGCGCCCACCGCACCGCACTTTAATCACTTTAATTCTGGGAAAGCGTTCCGCTGTCGTGGCATGAATCACGCCATTCTGTGGCATCGTGCTCGTATCTTGGCGTTGATAAAAATACAAGTGGTTTCGTCATACTCGACCAAGATGACGACGCCGCCACCGCCGCCTCGTTTTACTATAAACCAAATATTTTTTGGGGGATTATGTCGTAGGTCAGGGAATCAGAATGTGCGAATGAAACGAATGCCCGTTCGAGTGGTTATGAATGGGCAGAGCGCCAAAAGAAATGCGTGACTCACAGGCGCGGATGGCGGACTGCATTTTCAGTTTCACTTATCGAGAGTTTATGTTTATCGCCTCAATTGGAATTCAATTCAGCAGCGAGCCCACAGCAAACGCTTGACGAATCGATAAATCGGGAAAACGTGGCGCAAAATTCATTCACTGATCGCCAAAAGTGACAATCGATCGCCCTATGGATCGACGGATGGATGGATGGGTCCGGAGGCCGGAAAGTTGATTCGTCATAGCCAGAGAGACCCGCCGTCTTCCCTCAGTACGAGCATATTTCAATATTATTTATGATTATCCACTGCACGATCGTACGGCTGCCAGTTCCTCCGCCCAAAATGGACATCACAAGCGACACAGACGCACAGTGCCACCCCCACGTGTCTCCACGACCACTTCCATTCGGGCAGCTTATTTATTTATTTCGAGGGAGGAAGAAGAGTGTGTTTGCTGATCGCCAAAGGGTCACGAAAACGAGCAGGGAGAGTGAGAATCGATCATTGGATCAGCTGACAGTTGATCAAACAGAGATATCACGGATCGGATACAATCGGATGGAAGAACTATCTGAGATAAATAGAGAATGTTGCCTGTAGGACTGTAAACTATCAAAGTTCTCGGAACGATCGTCATATTTCATAACAAGGCAAGATAAAAGAAAAGGGGAATGAAAAAACAAGGCTTATCATTTGTCAGGCAGGAATTAGATCCATGGAATGGTATTTCGACTGCTTCTGCTCCTGGCACAGCCCAGGTGGAATGTAATGATGCATGATCTTCTGGATCTTCAGCTATATTAAATCAGCGTTCTGGAATATGTAATCACTGAAGATTATTAGCATGGCCCTGATAAGTGGAATTTTATTACTCTACTCAATAGTCTTGAGTCCATAGGCCTCTTGTCTCGTGTTCGTCGCAGCCACTGCACATATTTCAATTAATTTCAAACAGAGACGCATCAATGTTAGTCTCATCTGCATCTCCAGCCAGCATCTTCAGCCACTTCACTTGGAGAGAAGGAGATTCCCAGGCCGGGCGCCTTGTGAATTTAGTTGTTCGCGCACGCAATTTGCTGGCTGGTCGGCTGATATGTTGAGGCTTTGTGGTCATGAACCCGAAATGTAGTTGCCATTTTATTTGTTTATTAATTGCTGAACCCCAACTCCGGGCCTCGCATATGGCATGCTGCCTCGCCAGCGCTTGATGGATGATGTGGCTCCATCTTCGTCTCCATGTTTCCATGTTTCGCCGTCATGTGGGCTGTGGGTGAAATGAAACCATTGAAGTTGTCTGCCGACACTGAGGCGGTTTGTCCCTGATGACAATGAAATGCTTAAGTTTCACTTGGTGCTACAGCCGCATGTGGAGTCCCATCCACTTTAACCGAGCACCGAGTGCCATGCGATTTCATATAGTGATCCACGAGACCAATATTTCTCCACAGATTCTTCAAGCAGTGAAAGCAAAGACTTTGAGGATTGTATGATCCATGATCTGCGCACTGAAAATTAATATTTTTTCTCCTGTATAAGATACTATGGCCCGATCCAGAGATCCTCGAAGATCTTCGCCATCCCTTAACCGCCTGATCTTCAAGTTATATCTCTGATTAGATCAGTGATCATTGCCTGATCTTCTACGAGCTTGCTCCTCTTCTTCTGAGGATTATCTCTGGAATATCCTCAGTTTTGATCCAAAATTCGATAGAGATCCGAACCGATCCGATCCGAGATTTGGCATCACCTTTTCCCATCTCAAAGCAGGCGTGAAATCATTGCTATTATGATGGTTGTTATTCTTTTTGCTCAGTTACAGCTACGAGCATTATTATCAAATTAACGCGACGTTTCACAGGCCAGGCCCATTATTTACTATTTACCAGTGGAGTTACCAGTTGCCAGTGGAGAGGAGTTTGGGGGTGCGGAGTGCCAGAAGCCGATTAAATGCTCTCGACGATTGTCGCCTATTAACAAAATCAACTCGGATGCGGGCCGATGGTCTGATGGCCCTAATCAAAAATGTATTTATGAGATACGGCGACACACACACACACACACACGTGTGTGGAATATCTACATTGTTTGTATACTGTTTAGTGGGTCAGGGGTACAAGCGGTGCGTACTTAAATTTCATTACATTTAATGGCATTTAGTCATCAAGGGATTTTCGTTGTGTTTCTGACTGTACGCCGCTTGACGGAATGATGAATGATGGCGACAACCAAACGATCGAGAGTCCGACTGTGATCCAGTGTCCAGTGTTCAGTGTTCAGTGATCAATGATCAGTGGATCAGCGAATGCCAAATAGTTGCGCAGGCGCTCCACCATCCCACAGATGAACCAAAAACCTGATGTGCCGCAAAGGTGAAGACAAATTGGGCAGCTTACATCATGGACTAGCACTCGTGAACTCGTGTATCGTATGTGTGTGTGTGTTTTTTTTTTTTTGGCATATCCGAAATTATGAATCGCGCAAATGCTGGCGGCGGGCAATTAAGAATTTCTGTCTTTACCTTTGGCTTGGCCTTTAGTTTTGAGTTTCTGTTTGTGTCTGGGTGGGCGCGAATGCCATCGCGAGTGTGTGCTTTGTGGCTCATTAAGTGGCTCAAATGGCAAAACTGTTGGCCGGAACAAGCCGAAAACCAAGACATGAAATCGTACGGGTAAACTCAAGCCAAGAATCATTATGTCAATGTCAGATGTATCTCCTCTCTCCATTTGTCTAATTTGTTGTTTGAATTAACTCATGCCTCGCCTCATGCCTCAGACACAGACACGAGAGACCTCTGCACTTGAGACTCCCCTCCGATTCTATTCTCGGAGGTTTTGCAATCTCCTCGTTTGAGTGTGTCAAGTGTCGGTTCGACTCTGTTCTCTTTTTCAATTTGTTGTGTGAACCTTTCCTTTTCCCAGGCTGCAGGGAATTCCCCTTCCCATCCCATCCCATCCCATCCCATTCTATTCCCCATTGTTCTCTGATCTCGAGTGATCTCCCTGATTTGGCTGATCATTTGGGAAAAGGATCACCGCCAGGGACTGGCATTCCTATGACTTGGCACTCCTCTACTCCCGAAACGATCGATCATCCAGGATGCGATCTCATGCGATCCCCATACGATATTGAAAATTGTGTGCTTGAGTGTGTGTGTGTTTCTTTAATTACTATTACTATCTTGTGTGCATAATTTGTGACCAAATTTACCAACTTCTCCGAGATGTGTTTGGATTTCCGACGGGGATCGGTGATGGGTGATCGGAGATCGGAGATCTTTGTGCGCCATGTCTGTGTATGTGTGTGTGTGTGTTTGGGCCATATGGAAACGATCGCCTAGCTCCAGGGTATAATTTTTTGTGGGCTGCGTGTTCGTCATTCCCCTGATTGGCTGATGTGCTCGTAAAAGCGTAAGAGCGTGCCTCGTGCCTTGTGCCTTGTGCCTGGTGCCCCACCTCCTCCAACAAGCAGAGATCATGCAACTTTTATGATCGCTTTAATGTGGCTGCTCCTCTTCTCTTCTCTCTACTCTGCTCTGCCCTGGAGCTGGACGGATACCTTGATTGACCGAACATTAGATGGATCATTTAATTTAAACTATTTATGGATATTTTATGGGGTGCGATTTGCATTGGCCAACTTTCCATTTGACAAAATGAAACTTAAGCTGCTGCTGCTGCTGCCCCTCAATCTCAATGGGTTTTAATGAATGGGATTCCGCTTAACGATCTGACGAATGATGGGGAGATCGCAGAGTGGGTTGCGATGAAGGGAGATCCAACGAAAAGGATAGAATGCAGGAAGACTTGGCGAATGGAGAATATTAGCGAAGGGAAGCGCTTCCTCCCCCTTCCCACTTCGACTGGAACTCTGACTTCCGGTGCAGGCGCCATTATCTATCCCATGTGCCACAGGGCAAACACAGGCCATATGGTGACATGAATCAAAGGCAAATACTCGAAACTGAGGCCCAGTCCCGGCACCAGTTACTAGTCACAATTCCCCCGCAGTGTGCGAGTATCTTCCTAACCAAAGAGTTATTTTTTATCTTATCTAATGTGTTTACGTACGATTTTAGTTCGATTTTGATATGGGTAGCGTTTGGCTCATTGGGGAAGTTGTGTTTACCAGACGACGACGACGCTGACTGCTCTGCTCGGCTCCTCAATAAATAAATACGGGTGATACGAGATCGCGAACGCGAAC